ATAAATGTACACTTTCCAAACCTTTGAAGGAATATTCTGAGGATATTATCTTATTATTTAATGAAGCACTTTGAGGACCAATCAAAAGATATGATTATTTATGGGATCTGTCCTCATACTTCACCTGAAGCGCATAGATTGTTGACCCTCAGACATTAAGTGTTTTGTACAACGTACACTCTAAAGTGCAGTATAAGCACAATCAAGTATCTGTGAGTGACAAGGTAAGAATCTCCTTTGAATTTGTGTCAAAATTAGACAGACACAGAGGTGGTGTGTATTCTTCAAACAATATTCAACCTAGAATGAATAAACAGTACATTATGAAACAGACGTGACAGATACATTTTGACATTTGTCATGGTGACCACGCTTAAAGGTTTAACCTTAGGAGATACAGTAGCTGACCATCAGTTAAGGCTTTGATGTTTTTGTTGTTGTTTTTGCCCAGTATGCTGTCTCAAGCTTCTAAATGAAGGGCTATCATTGCCTTTACTGAACAATTTGGTGTGAGATATTTTGAAGAACAGTCCAATGACCATCTGCACATGCTGTCCACTCTGCACACTCTACATCAGCTCTGTACTTTCAGTCCTTCTTCCTCCCTATAATCTCATGTCCATTCCCACAGCAGCAGCATCATTAGCCCACAAAAGGTTTACACATTCATAAATATTATGCTATGTGCGTGTATTCTGTGCGTCATGGAAGAAAACTTCCCCCCATGTGTTATGCATATGAATGAATGGCCTTTTACACAGGGAGTAGTTCCTCCCTAGAAAATCCATGACTGTACATTCCCAAAATAGACCATGACTTGCTCAAAGTGGAACTAATGCATCAGCTCCGGGTGTCCGCAGATGGGTGAAGAGGGGGTGTTCTCAAAGATGTGTGAATGAATGGATCACAGTCGGCTGGTTTGTCATATACTATATCTCTGGCTGTTGTTACACATGCAGTCTGCAGAATGGACTGTTGGAGCTTATGAGTCACCACAGAAGGAGAGGTACAGTCCACAGTGACCACAGCTAATGACACAACAATACTCCAGTAATGCATCGTTGTTCAATAAGGGCCACATTTAATGACATTTGGATGATGATGTAAAAGTCTGTCACTATGGCAACATAATCTGTCCAGTGCCACAACACAAGCTCCATTTCAACCCCAGCAAAACTGTAAAAGATAAAATTAACAATATCATTTTACAACTAACGCTCACTTATTGATAATGACTTGACTTGTTGATATTTTTGTTCATTCAAATTGTTGTATTGGTAAAGAAATGTCATGAGCTACATAAAATGCAACATAAATATCAATCCTTTTACGTCCTGATTTCACAAAATTAATAATGGCAATTATTACATTGCTTATGGATAACTGTAGTGTATTGTATCTTTATGCTATTGCGTATTTATATATGCTTAGCTTATTATTCACGTGCAAGTAAATTATTGTAAATTATGTATCTTCTTTCCTTACTGTACCACTAGAGGGTGCAAAAACATTGTCCAACCTTTATCATTTGGATACTTTTCTCTCTTAATTAAAACATATCATTTCAAGAGCCTGCCCTGTTCCACAGAGTTCTACTGTCAAGTCAGAATGATTGAGTTTTCTATTGTGTAATTAGTGTGGAAATATGCATTAACACTGCATGGGTAATTTTGAGAGTAATAGCCCCTCAAAGTGCTTACAGACTCAACAGGAGTCTGCATTCTCACACACAGTGCCCTGCAGATGGGAGACAGATGTTTAATGGGCCAGGTCATGGAGTCCATACAGTAACTGTCTGCTACACCGTTTCTCTGTATCGAGCACATTGTTCAGATTACCACATCCATATAAATCCAGGAAATTTCCTGTGGAATGGAAACAATGTCCGTTGCATATGGGACTATTTGTATTGCTTTGTGTCTCACAGCACACAACTGATTCTTGTTTCCTTGTTTTATTATTTCACTGAAAATTATGTTTAAAACATGCATCCATTCCATACAGTGCAGGAGCTTGCATCACCACAGACCTGACTCATAAGCATGGGCTGTCTCTTTGCATTTCTACCACAAGGTTTTAACTTTTTTTCTATAGGAATTAGAGTTAAAGGTTCCATATAACGCTTTTCTTCATGCTTCACAGTCCATCCTATGCACATGTATGATAGGAGTGATACACTACACAACGCTCAAAACTTGTGCGATTATAGCCATTTCTTGCATAGAGGTGACATTACCTCGACTCAAACGAGCTGATCCAGAGAGAAGTCTGCTCCTCTGTCCGGGAGCCCGCCTCCTCCCGCCCGCACGATGACGCGGCCTCGTACTGCGAGTTGTTTATCCTCCAGTACATAGTTATTTCAGAAATGTGAATAAACTTTTTCAAACAATGACAATCCGTCACATCGAGCCCTATGTCCTCGATCCACAATCAGACCCTGATTATTTAGTTTACAGAAGTATACGGCAAGTTAGCATCACTGAACTCACAGATGGGGGGTCCGTGTAAGCATCTTTTATTGTAGGAATAACACATGTTTCCAGATCAGTTTTTGAGTAAGTCCAGTTCCATTGTCCCTGTAGTTCTGGAACAGTCTCAGTGAAGTGTCGCAGATGAACACATTCATTCAAACAGAGGCAGGTCCCCGGGGGTCGAGCCACATTCTTCCTCTTCGGGCCAAATAGATTCAGATTCAGATTCAGATTCATTTATTTGCCATTTGCAGTAAAACCACATTGGAAAAACTGTGCAAGACTACCCCGGTGTGCACCAGACAGAGAAGACGACACACACCAGAGCTCTTGCCACGGCGCCATCTTTACGGCGCCATGCGACAAACAGTAGAATAAACAGCAGAGAGCAATAACATACAGTTTCACAGACAGTTGGATAGACACATTGTGCTTTGTATAAACCACGGATTTTTTTCTCGGGATGAGCACCTCCGACAGCCGGCCAATGTAGCTGTCAGAGGGGGGCGGGGTCAGGGAGGGGGGTGAGTCGGAAACACAATGAGGAGTGGAGGGGAGGGAGGGAGCAAGATGAATAGGTAGAGGGAGGCGGGGGTGAGGGATCCTTGCTGGAGACTGAAATAGTGTGAGTTGTTGTAGATTGGGACCTTGTTATTATGGCCTTGGCCGAGGAATGTGAGATAAGAGTGGGGAGAAGACACAGCAGGAGAAACACAAATCGCCTGAGAGGGACAATATTAAATGCAATGTAGCAGTCAAAAGCAGGCAGATATTCTATTAAATCCAATTAATCCGAATTACGGCGCCCTCAGACCTCCGTACACAGGGGCAAATCCAAGCCGGGTCAGAGAGTTCAAGCCTGGCAAACAATGTCATTCAATCTCAACTCCAAAGTTTTATTCCCTTCGAGTGAACAAGCTGCGAGGTCTTTTATCAACTGTTCCACCAAAACCACTCTCCTTTGTCCAGACACGGCACTCTCAACCACGACTCGGCTAAGCTCCTTTTACATCCCATCAATTTTGTCGGCCAGCAGGTCGTGAATCTTGCGAACTGCCATGCCGCCGAATTTGTGGTAGAAGAGAACCGCTCCAAACCCAAACAGGAGGATTCCCACCACCAAAATGCCAAAGATATATACGTCTTCCGAATCTTCAATGGACAGGGTCGACAGACAGAGGGGCTGAAACTTGTTCCAGCTGTCAAGAGTATACCCCGCAGGTGAAGTCCCGTCCGGGCACACGGGCTCTCCAGACCCACGCTTACGTGTTGAAAATAAATATATAGTGCATCACATATTTACACCCAAAAACATATTTTATCCAAGCTGACATGTTCCTAACACTTTTAGCCAATGACAAAAGCAGAAAACCAGTAGCTCCATGTGGTGTCCGCGGGACCAAACCACAAAGACTGGACTCGGAAGCTGTGATTCGCTGTTTCGATTTGTCAGTCACCTATTTTCATTATTTTTGACAGCAAACAGCATACTTATTGTGTATTGTTTACCCTGTTTTGACGATAGTATTTAAGAACCATTTTAAATAAGAAGGAAAACACATCAATGTGGAAATCGTCACGGATGTGGAAGGTGAAAGAGAAAGATTGCTCTCTAACTCGATTCACAGAATCAATGAAAAACTACCCTGGGCTTGTGTGTGAAGGCCGAATAGCACTGAAATCATGTTTAAAGCAGAGAAAAGTCAAAAAGCGTAACATGGGACCTTTAAAGCTGGGGAACCTAACTTCAACCAATGCAAATGTAACTTTGTAATGACCCATGTCACTAGTTGCTGGCTCTGAAACAATTTTCTTCTATCAATAGTTTTCATAGGTATTGTATTTTCACCCCAAAGTGTGAAATAGTGACCCAACAAACAAAATTGGTGAAAAGGACCAGCCCTGTCGTATCCCCTCATTGGATCCACACTAAAATGTATTTATGTAACAAAATATAACTTTTTCCTAGCTCTAAGCACAATTTGTTCATAGTGAGTACCAGAGCTCTCTTATAAGTATGTAAAACACAACATATCTTAAAATCAAAATGAAGACAGCAGGATGCGGTCTAATTATGTTACCAAAACAAGATTTTTTTCTTGTTTAGGTAACAAAATGTTAGCCTGGTCTTACCAAACCATCTCACACATTTCATTCATACATGTAGGGAAATTATAATGGACTGTAGTTTACAGATGGCTAAAGCCAGACCAGGAAAATATGAAATGTTATTATTTCTTAACCATTGTGTTAAGCTGTGTGTCCTTCATGATTTTAAGCACTGGCATATACACACCCTTTTGAGTTTATCTCCTCCACAAATGCATTCAAGTTTATGAATGTTGGTGGACACCTGCACTGGTATTGACACAATCCAAACTGAGACATGCAGAAGTGTAATCTGATTAAGCATGAGATAATCCCAAAGTGAAAACATGCTCGTGTCATCTGTCTTCTGGAGATGCCTGGTGCCCCATACAAGAGCAGACATATGTGTTCAATGTTTTAGTCTCATCCTCAAGAGCTACAATGTCAGACCTGCAAGATGCACTGCTGGTGAGCACGGAGGGCATCAAGAAAACTATCCTTCATGGAGGAACCGGAGACATCCCCAAATTCTCCACAGGGACCAAGGTAAAGCCTAGCGGGGCATGCTCACTCTGATTTCTGTGCATTCATTTGATAATATATCCATACATGCTGTCAGGTCCATACATAATGGACAACATTCTCATATTCTCACACCACAATACATATGGAATTAACAAGAGTGCCAGTTTACATTGCGGGTGGTAATTGCCAAATTGGGTGAACAGTGTGGGAATTACAATTTTCTGCCATTTGAGAGTATCCAAAACGAATAGATCCATCATCCAGTATTACTAGGACCGTAATAAAGTGCAAATTCTAGTATGATCGCCATAGACATCACCAGATTTTTACCCCTGGTGATGCTCTTCCAGGCCTCTATTATAATGATCTTGAGTTCCTACTTGTTCATGGAGCATTGTTCCCTTCAGTTATGTCTTCAGTAAGCGAAATTCTGCTCAATCGTGTCCAGTCTTTTGTTCTAATATTGATATTTAAGACATTTTATCAGCTTTTACCTTGGAACAGCGGATCCTTTTGATTTGCCAATTGCCTGGGTTTAATTGCGGCACTAGTCACAAGAGTTAAATATGAATAACTTCACATAAAATCTGACAGTTAAAGCACTTCTTGCTTCAAATTGAAATCCATTGTTGTGGTGAATGAAAATTGTGGTAAGGTCCAATTCATGGTCTGACAGGGTGTAGTAATAAAATATGACCAGAAGATGGCAGCAGCAGCCAGACATTATGTAACATTAAAAAGAAAATATTGTGGATTAATATTTTTTAAGATTGTGGAAGATTTTTTTTTTTAGGTCCATGGTAAATTTATATCAGATGAATTAAAGACCTGCTCAAACCTGATCACATTTAAAAGAATGTTTAAAAAAGATATATTGAACAAATATATGGAAGAGTGATGCCTTGAGCACAGAGCAAGTAGTGGAAGAGAGGAGTAGGGTCGGAGAGTGTTTGGGCCTGTGTGTTGTCAGAGTGTGTGTGTGTGTGTGTGTGTGTGTGTGTGTGTGTGTGTTTAGTGTTGTCTGTCTTATACCATCGGTGGTAGTATTGTATAACTGTTTATAATGTACTGTTGTATGTTAAAGAATTCTACTGCATGATATTGTTAGAACACGGATTATTTGTCTGTTATATTGATATATGTAAAAATATGTATTGTGCAGGTTCGAAAGAAAGAAAGAAATAAAAATAAATAATAAAATGTGTATCTATACTGTACGACACTGTAAGAATGGGACACATGCATTTGACAACTTTTTATGAAATACTAAATGTTGTTGCAAACTTTGTGTATACCACAGCATGGAAATGTGTAAAATACAAGATTAAGATGAAGAGATCCTTTATTTGTCCCACAGTGGGGAATTTTCAGTGTTGCATCACAAGTTACAGAACAGTAGCAAAGAGGAGCACACCGCACAAGATAAATGAGCAATAGCTGTACTAAATAAAATAAAATAAAATCTCTGACTCGAGCATACATCACCAGTAACAGTGATCATTGTGATGACTGTTCTTCTTGTCCTCAGGTGACGTTCCATTTCCGGACGCAGTTGTGTGACGAGGAGCGGACAGTGATCGATGACAGTAAAGTGGTGGGGACGCCCATGGAGATCGTGGTGGGAAACATGTTTAAGATGGACATCTGGGAGACACTGCTGGCTTCTATGAGGCTGGAGGAGGTGGCCGAGTTCTGGTGTGACACAGTTGTAAGTGAGAAACTATTGTTATACTCTGTCTATATATTATTATTACTTTTATACACAATAGAAATGTTTTAGAACGTTTTTTGTTTTGCAGCTGGAGAGGAAAGTAGCTATAACAAACATGAAATATTTTGTCATAGCTATGGATGACAACCAATCAATCAATAATTGTATTTATTTCAAACCTGCACAAACATTTTTAAGACACTTTCTCTTGTAAACATATGCATGGTTTGAAAAGGGGCTCGGCAGAAGCAAAAGCGTTTTTATATCGAACCCCCAACAACACCCACAACAACAATGATAATACTAAAAATAACAATAATATTGATAAGACAAAAATATAACTAAATTCAATAACCATCATGGCAATAATAATTCATTCATTCATTTTCAACCCTTTTATTAGTCCATTTCTGGGTTGGCGGGGGGGGGCTTGGCAATGAGAGCTGCCACCCAATGCTCATAGCACCAGTCTCTCGCTGATCCTAATAATGATGATAATAAAATATTATATATTTAGAGCACATAGTCCGAGAGTTTTTATTTTATTATCTAATTACTGCATGATTTTATCAAAATAATAATAGATCCTGTTTAATGTGTGCATAACCTGAGTGCTATTTTCTCCTCTTATTTATTCATACGTCGTTGAAATTCCTCCACTGAGGGACGAATAAAGGTTTATCTAACAATAACAATGAATGTATAAACATGAATAATTAATGATGACAAAATGATGATGTACAAAGTGAATGAATAAAGTCATGTGGTGCATCTCAGAGTGTCCAAAACCGTGCTATAAAAACCATTGCATTATTTTTATCACCATGTCTGACCAAAGCCTCCTTGACTCTAATTCTTCCGTTTAATTCTGCTGCAGTGTGACCTACATTAACCTCCCCAAACTCCACACGTCTTAAACAGTGTTGCGTTTGTTGACTGTGGCAGATGGTGCAGGTACAGTCATTAATCTGCAGCCGTCGCACTTCACTGTAATCGCCTCAGAAAGTGCTGACTCTGTACTCTTCACTTTCTCCTCCTCTGCTCCTTGATTAGATGCGATGGAGCTAAGGGCTTTTATTTAATTCTGTCTTTTACATTACTGACGTATTCACTCAGAAATGTGTCGAATATTGCCATTTAGATCAACGATTATATCACTCTAAAACCTCTGTGACAATACATGAGATTGCAAGTGAAGCTAGTCCCAACTTTTTTTGATAAATACAATTTGTTTGTTCCAACAGAAGTTTTACATGGGTTAAGTCATAATCTTATTAGGAAACAATGAATCGTTTACATGGTGAGAGCTGACGTGAGGGCTGGTCCTCTTATTGACTGAAAAAGTTGAGAAAAGATGTGACAGAGGCCAAAAACCCATGAATGTAAAAACTAGAGATAGTTAGTTAGTTTAAGAGCTATTACATATGTGGTTCAAAGGCTTCAAAGGATGGTACTCCAGCTTTAAATGGTAGAACGACGATGTTGTGAAAAGAAAAACTTAAAAGCAAAATAAAGTAAGTAAGTAAGTAAGTAAGTAATCTTTATTTATATACCGCCTTTCACAGACCAGAGTCACAAAGCGGTTTACAATTGTTATTTTTTTTTTTTTTTTTTTTTTAATAAAAAAGAAAATGAAAAAAGAATGTAATATTAACAATAACATTATTTATTTTATTTTGGTTATTTTGATTCAATTTTTTTTTTTTTTACTGTAAACTTTTCCTATGCATTATGATTGTTGCCTTGTGATGTTTTTGATCCAAGATATTCTGGGCCATGGAATTCTAAAGGCAGAAAAAATAAATAAAAAATATAAAAACAAAGACAATGTTATGATGTATGCAAAATAGTGACACAATAACGTCTATTTACAGCAGAAAGTTATTTTATATAAACAACATTCCAGGAATAACAGTCCAGGCTCTCGTTGCAGAACACCATGACATCATCTCCCAAAGGGAAGTGTGTTGCTCATCTGTCATTCAATCTCATCTCTCGAGATCAATTTCATACGATTTCTCAGATTTGTATCATTCTGTGATCATTTGCCTCTGAGTCACCTCTCCTAAGGGTCAGTTAGGAGCAAGAAAGAAGTTCAAAATACACAAGACGATGTGAGAAAACCATATGAGCAATACTTGAAAAGTGGGTTCAACTCAAGCACATATATTTAATTCTATTTTTCAGAGACAAAGGGAAAAAAAGTGAAATTAAAATGCAGATTGGATCTCAATTCACTTAAATGTACTTTTGCATAGCCCTAAATCACAACAGTAGTTATTCCGAAGGACTTTCCAAAACCATTGAATTCACCAACACAGATAAAAGAATAAAAATGTTCAAACACAAGAAATGCAAAGTTGAAAAACACGTATACAGACATCGATCCATAAGGAACAGATGATAAATGTCCATAAATGTAGATGAAGTCCATAAATGTCCTCGAACCTCATCATCGTATGCCCCTGATCTACAGTACGTCTCGGTTGTTTTGAATCTGACCTCTGGCTATAATTTTTCAGCCACAATAATCTCTTTGTATATTTTTCTAGCACACTGGCGTTTATCCACTCGTGGCCAAAAGCATGAGACGGATCGCGGAGGGCAAAGACCCGGTGGAGTGGCAGGTGCACACATGTGGGATGGCCAACATGTTTGCGTACCACAGCCTTGGATACTCCGACCTGGATGAGCTCATGAAGGAACCCAAGCCCCTGTACTTTGTGTTTGAGTTGATCAGGGTAAGTCTATCTAAACGTCACTATTATTGTGTTTTGAGAGCCAGATCCTGTCAGACCTCTGATGCTAAGCAGGGCAGGGCCTGGTTAGTACTGTGATGGGAGACCTCTAAGAACACCAGGAGCCGCAGTGGGGCGGCTGCGGCTGTAAAGTGCCAAACTCTTGTTGTGTCCTGAGGCAAGACACTTCACCCACATTGCCTGGAATGAGTACGGTATGTGTGTGAATGGTTGGTGGTGGTCTGAGGGGCCGATGGCACTGGTTGCCTCGCTTCTGTCAGTGTGCCCCAGGGCAGTTTGGAGAATAATGACATGTGAAGTCTATGAGTGTCCTGAAAAACACAATAAAACAATGCACTATTATTATTATTATTATTATTATTATCATCATTATTATCATTATTATGTCTCACAGGTCCAGCAGCCAAACGAGTACAACAGGGAGTCATGGGCGCTGAACGACGAGGAGAGGTTGAAGATGGTGCCAGTTCTGCATGGCCAGGGCAATAAGCTCTACAAGCAGGGCCACTATCCAGAGGCAGGGCAAAAGTACAAAGAAGCTATTATCTGCCTGAAAAACATACAGACCAAGGTGTGTTCAACCTCTCAGACATGTAGCAATTGGCCTGGTGATACTAATGTAATTGTTGTGCAGGAGAAAGCATGGGAGGTTCCATGGCTGAAGCTGGAGAAGATGTCCAACACGTTAACGCTGAACTACTGCCAGTGTCTGCTGTGCATGGAGGAGTACTATGAGGTCATCGAGCACACCAGTGACATCATCAACCAGCACCCGGGTACACAATGCAAAACACTCTCTCTGTGGGGAGAAGGGAGAAACATTTGCAATCAAAAATAAAAGAGAGAAGGTTTTTGCTTGTGTGTTGTAGTAGGGTAAGTGTTGAAAAGGTAAGGTGAGGTTGAAAAGTACTGGGTTAATATTTGCTAATCACTGGCTGTTTTTAATGTTTCATTTTATAATGTTGGAAAGTCATGCGAAAAGACTGTAGTTGGGATTGTGTGTTCTGATTTTAAACAGCAAGCATCTGTGCCTTTTCTTCATTCATGCATGTACCATACTGCATGTTGTATTTAGCTGGACCAAACGGCCCATGATTGTAGATGGCTCCCTGGGCACTGTGGCCTTTTATAGTTTCAAATGCCAGACAGCGCACATAGAGTACATTACACATTATACTTTCAAGGCACACTTGAGCTCGATGACCTGATTATATCTTGGATAATTATAACGTGTTACATTTTACCTCTTTGGTAGCTTTATTTATCTATATTTTAAATAACCTCAACACATGTTTTAGTTTAAGTATGTTGCTGATTTGGCTGATTTGGATGACGTTTCCAGCTGAGATTGTTCTGTTGCCCCTTCCCCAGGAGTGGCCAAGGCGTATTACCTGAGAGGAAAAGCCCATAAGGAGGTGTGGAATGAGGCAGAGGCCCGACAGGACTTCAACAGAGTGTTGGAGTTTGATCCTGGTATGAAGAAGGCTGTGAAGAAGGAGCTGGCCGTTCTGAATATGCGCATGGAGGAGAAGAACCAGGAGGACAGGCAGAAGTATAAGGGCATGTTTTAAGAGTTTCAATAAACGTCTTTTACACAATTGCAACTGTGATCATTGTCAATAGAGAAACATAGTATCTCATGTTGTCCTTATTCTTATTCACAACACAGAGCTGTATGGTGAGAAACACAGAACAGAGCCAATCATCCAACTGAACAATAAAAACCATGAATCAGTTATTATTCCCTATGGCCCTCCTACATCCACGGGGTGGTGCTGTGCACACTGTGCCCAGTTTTATGAAGGACCTTAAAATCTGCCCTTTAGAAAAAATGCTTACTCAGCATTATATAACTCGAAGAGTGAATATGTAATTATCTGAGGACTAATAAAAATAATAAACGATCCCAGTTATGTCTTCCGCAACTCTTCTTCCGTTCGAATTGCAAATGAGAGCCTAAAGTTTTAGGGTACAGGCCTTATAACTTTAGATTAAGGATAATGTTCTGGGATTGAAAGATAAACCTGTGCTTGATCTTTATATACTCTGATCTTATTTACTCTGTGTGTCAATGGCAGACTATTACATCACATAAAGAGTTCACGGGAATCCCCACACCTCTCTCTCCCATCAATATGCGCTGGGCGCGGAGCGTGCAGTCATGCTGGGGCTGACGCTAATGCACCAGTCTAATGATGAACTAAATCAATGAGAGAAGCTCCTGGTAAAGACACATCCACTGATGGTCTGATGGCAGACCAGAGTGCCCTCAGAGCCTAAACTCAGCTCACTCACTCAGGAGGCACTCACTACAATTCAGCACGTGTAATACATTCTCTACACAGCCATCATTCCAACGACTCTTTGCTGAGAAAGCCCTGCATAGCACCATCGCCACGTGTTTTTTTCTCTATACACCAGTGGTGCAAATAAGAGCGACTCGAGGATGGAAGACGGAGAGGGGGATGAGGAGGAGAGGATAGCGGGCTGTGTGCCAGACTGTCCCGCAGGAGCGCATCAAGTCAGCAAGGGCCGCGTCACACATACCCACACACTCTTTCACAATAAAAGTGGCCGCGAGAAAGTTTTTTGTCGTGACAAGCTAAAGTGGAACTGCCTGAAACATGCACACATCTATTTATAAGTGCATTAATGTGATTTTAAAAAATGGTATGGAGTGGGACAGTGTACAATAAGCAAGGAGAGACGCGCAGGTTGTGGCAGGAATTCTATTTTACACCTGTAGTTTTTGAGCAGGTTGATGTAAAACAGCAAAACAAAAGTAGATAGATACGTGAACAAACATTACACACATGATCAGACAGAGGTTACTATTTCAATCAACATAACAACGTATATCTCTTTTGCCAACCTGCCTATAATATGTTGCATATGTTGGAACAGGGTATGAGAAAATCAATGCTAGAAAATGACTGCGTGATAAAATATACTTTGTGACGCATTGCTTTTGAGAACATCAAACCAAAGTGCACGGACTCGTTTTACTTGTGCGCGAGTCGAACGGAAGCGCGCTTCGGTGACTGCGCGGTTGACGCTGGTCCCAAGTTGAGTCCAGTCGTGTGTTGCTGCAGTGGATGAGAGACGAGGGGAGAAAGTCTGTTTCACCTTCATCCATCTTTACTCCGTCAAGACCTCTTGTTTTAGACACCAGAGCACGCTCGGTCACAGGAGGAGTCTGAGGTCATCTGGAATCATCTGAACAAGAATGTGAAGAAAGTAATCGCAAGTATGATGTACGTCTGTATGCTCGATTCAAGCAATTTATTTCTTCGCTTCCTAGGATCTTAGAAGATAAATGCCATAGACTTCTTTTGTGAATTGCAGAAATTTGAATAGATCAACCAGAGCATCCACAGTGTAATTTATTCGGTGATACAACTTCAATTGATAAGTATGGCCATCAACACAGACACAGAATACCAGAAGACCAACTTGGGAGAAGGTGGAGGGAGCACCCAGCCGACAGCAGACTCCCATGAGACAGAGAAGCTGCTGGCTGTGACCACTGAACCAGGAGGCAACGGGATGAAGACCTCCGCCTCTTTCAGTGCGAGTAGGGACAAGGGTTTGGACACAGATCAGAATGGACACAACATTCCCATGCGGTCTGGTTCTGCCGGACACCTGGCTGCGGCTGCCCCCCTGTCTCCATCTCGGGCCAGTTTGAGTCGTTCCTCCATTGGAAATGCCACGGTCCAAGAAGCCCCCTTACCCAAGGACTACCTCATCCTGGTCATCTGCTCCTGCTTCTGCCCTGTGTGGCCCATCAGCATTGTGGCATTGGTCTACTCTATTATGGTAAGCACAACAGGTCTTTCACAAATACATTTGTATGATGCTGTGTAGAAATGTGCATACACTCACTTCAAGCTTTAAAGATAAATCAGGCTTAGTGTGCATTAAATGTGCTGTGCATTCAGAGAAGACATACAACTTAATGTTAATGACAAAACTCAAAAACCAGCCACAGAACTGTCTTTCCAGTTATATGTGGCATTCAAATATGCTTTTAGTGAACTGTTTCTATTGAACAAAGCTGTTGATTATTGAACAAGACATCATTATTGCTTCACGCAGGACCACAGGTTTGAAACCACCTCCTGGTTCTGAGTCTGACCACACGACAGTCTGCCGTAGCAGCAGGTCACTGCTCCTGTCAGGGTTCCCATGGAGCACAGCAGGTGGTATGAATTTCTCTCAAGAGGAATAAATAGTTTAACCTTACTTTAACCTTAGGGAAACCAGCCGACAAAAATACAAAGGTGTGTTTACATCACTTATGTAACATGACACACTGAGTTATATAGAGTTACATCTGAGAAGCTTTTTAGCTCCTTATTACCATAAGTGCCAAGATACTTGCTGTCGTCCTCTCTCTTCAAGTGGGTACTCCGCAGTACATTTCATTATTGCAATGTACCATATTTCAACGAAATGTCAATTTCCCATTTTACTTAAACTGCTAAACGACATTGCATGTGTTCTGATTTACAGTCAATAAACATGATTTACACACAGCTACATTATTCTTTTACATACACCTGTATATTTCTGATCTATATACAGACTCTAAAACATGTATGCAGTGAAATTTCATAAACATATTATTATAACAATGAAACTATTTTACTATTTTGTCTGGAGAAATAACCAGACACATTTTCTAAAAAATAATTAGATTGTCATAAAGTGGCTCCATTTTGTTTTTCTTCATAAATGTTTAGAAACCAGCTTATCTGTATTCTAAAGCGACATCTACAAATACATCGTTACAGCCCTACTTTGCTTCACAGTTTGACCTGGAATAACACTGACCATAAAGCTGCCAAATCCTGAGATCTGTCTAAGGCAATGCAGCAGAACCAGTGGTTGTGACATCACACTGGTGGACTTCACACCAAAGGGACTATAGTGAACCCACTGACATTCAAAGGTCTCCTCTCACTCACTAACGGTGCAGAGAGAAGAGGCATTTGGACAGAGGGCAGAAACCAGAAGACTGAAGAAGGGAGAAACTAGAGCTGCCTACTAACTCGATAGAAATCCAGGGGAGTCAATTCAGTTTGTGAGCAGAGGGCAGATTGGACCTGTTAGCTGCCTCTAGGTGGGTCCCCATTCACACTCTCAGCTTTTCCCTGAGGTTACAGACCGGGCTAGATCAAAGCCCATTGACTACCAGGCCCGATGGGTGTGAGAGAGACAGCACATACGTAGCTATAGAGACGCTCGGACCAGGGAATAGAAAAGAATTACAACTGAAGTAATGATGCTGCACTTTGAGGGCTTTCTAAGTGCTTATGTCCGGCAGCTTAAAGGAAATAGATACTAGAGGAAAGCTATAGGAAAATGAGGAGTTCGAAAAAGGAGCCAGTTTCCCACCCTGGTCGTTTCAGAGTGACATCACAATAAATATTGTAGGTATGTGGAATAGTGATGAGGGAGAAGGGCATAGGCTGATCCTGTTTCGTGATGTTTGGAACAGGTCAAGTTAGAGGCAATTTTATTATCTAAATAAGAAATGGATCTTTTGTGTGAATTCAAAGACAGATTTTTACTGGACAATAGTTTTTTGTAATCTTGTTCAATTCAGGCAGCCAGGGTTTGTTGTAGACGTTTTATTTTGTTACAAGTTTGGAGTCTGTAGTCCAGATAATGAGTCAAGGACTTTTTATAGAAACAGTTTTTATGAAGAATGACAATCAAAGTTCTGATGAACTGTAGCTTGGGTTGACATTTGCAGTATGCAGTCCTGTGCAGTAACCTGCATATTTTATATTCAAGTATATTCAGAAAGAGCAGAAAGAGAAACTTTCTGAAAAGTTTAAATCTTTAGATTCACATTTAAAGTGAGTGAAATATCACTTCAAATAGTTTGTATAAATAGTGCAATGAGTAAATATCTAACAAAGGAGAAGACACAGCCTTTGCTGTGCTTGGATTCCCGTTTTTACTGCTGTATGAAATTACAGCTTTCATATCGGCTTTTTAAATACACCAGATACAGTTACACTCTCTATGTTGGAAGTGCACAAATACATCGTTGAAAATGTTTGTCATTTCTGCTGTTTTTGTCTTTCTATATTGTAATTTACTTATTATACAACTTGTTACATGGTTCAAACCATTTTGAAGAGAAGATGTGTTGAGGAACTTACTTTCTTATATAACTGGTGTTATCTTGGTCAAATTATTACTTTGATTCAAGGAACATCTTCTTGCAAAAAGTTAGAAATGTTTTCAAACCAGTTAAGTCACAAAATCCATCAACCAACCACTTCCAATCTCGCAGATTGTAATGGAGTTACACTGATTGCTCTTTGCTTTTAGGATTGATTTACAATTATATTTTATGAGTTGCTTTAAAAGCCATCCAAAGTTTTGTTCCAGAGTACTTCACTCCTGCCTCCTTATGAGCCGGAGCACTGCCAGAGGTTTATTCCCAGCTCCAGGCTTCAGAGCAGAGGGACTTCTCCCTGTACGGGCCCCTGTGGAGCCCCAGGAGCTCAGGCAAATGATGCATTCACTTTAAATAATCATCTTTTATATACCACTTTTCATAACCCAAAGATTCTGCACACGTCATTATTAGTTCACCCCGTACGTGGTGAGGTAAGCTGCAGTAGCCACAGTTGACATGCCACCCCACCACCACCATTCACCAAAACACTCTATTACACTGGGTAACAAAACAATATTTTTTGAAAATAGTCCAGAGTTTTTCAGCTGAATTAGACTAATGTTGATGCTCTGAGTCCGAAAATGACCTTGGTTTTGCTCAAACAGGTCAGGATTTTTTGCTACAGAAATATTTTTTTAAATAGATTTTGCGTAAAAAACAAATTTCTGCGGATCATCAGCTGAGAAACCCTTGACGGTTTTTCCGTTTTCCTCAAGAAATAAAAGTCAACGTATCCAAAGTCATTCAGTTTTTATTTACTCCATCAAATTTGAAAAGCAGAATTCATAATAACGTAGACGTACATGATCCGTAACACTGTGGCTGTATCTCAAACAGTTGTCCTGATAGAGCAAAATGCATGTGATATTCGGACTCAGAACACCAACATTAGTCTAGATCAGTTGAGAAACCCCTGACCATTTTTTGGCTGTCAACTTGTGTTATATGTGAAGGAGGCGCTGCTTCCTAAATGGATCACTTATCCCAAAACTCTCCTCATGGACTCTATAGTATCGGACATGTTTCTTATTGTGTGATGGATTCCTTGGTGTCTTGTGATTGGCCAATAGTCCAGGTAGAAGGAGGCGCTTTAGTGAGGAGAGAGTTGTACCCAATGAGGGGGCTTTTTTATTATGTGTAATGATACTTTTATAGTTATATTAATGTTTTAATACATGTGTTCTTACATTGTTTTTACACACGTTATATATATCTTGATATTTTATTCTGGTCTGGGATTGTGTGAAGCACTTTGTTTATCTGTTTTGAAAGGTAAATGTATCGTGATAAACATAACCATAATTAATTTTAAGCCTGCTATAGTGAAAATCAATGTTAGAGCCTGAACATTTTGCTTGCACTCGACTTTCAGAACTGCAGTCTTGGATATTTGGTAATCACATTTGGTTTGCACAGCCAATATGTTGCAGCCCCACTGTTTAACCCTGTTACAAAGACCCCGCCTGTTGAGACACCATCCACAATCCTAACCAGAATCATCCATCACTTTCACCTCAGTCCACAACAGCCCTCTCCAGCGGTTCCACGGACCTACAGACAGAGCCTTGTGGTGAGGAAGGCTGCGGCTGCAAACACAGTCAATTACGGGGATTGGAGAGGCAGAGCTATTAGGTTTTTTACAGCCCAGACTGGACTATCGCAGTAATGGCAGTGGCCAAACTACAAGCACGTTATTGCTCGCGCTGCAGATTTGCTTGTGAAATATGGACCCTGCACTGGGCGTGTGCCTGGGAATGAGTCTGTATCAGGATTTGAATACGGTGAAGATACACAGAGAGGAAAGGCTTAAGTTATGGAATAGACAATATATCGAGGAGAACTAAAACATTTACGGAGAAATGAATGATGGCACGGTTATGTTTAATTGTCAAGTGATCTGGGAGTGCATCCAAATGAAACCACCACCTCTCGCGTGACCTTTAGGACGGTTGAAAAGCACTGACACTGTTGAGCTGTACGAACCTATTGCACTGACTGAACGTAAAAAATGTTGTTGTCTTTAGAGTGAATGCCAACCATTTTTGGAAATTTGAAGAGAGTGAGATTTTTTTCCAAAGCAAGCACCAGTTAGACCCGCCCCTAGTCACCCCCACTGCTTCTCATCAAGATTCTCAACATAATCAGATTTCTGACATCCACAATCCGCAGTTTAATGAGCCGATGTCATTTTTGATTGAAAGGAGTCTACACAGAACATCAATTTGTATTACAACACCTACAATGTTTTGAATTATCCTAGACAAAATATCCCCAAAATATCCCAAAATTGAAGTGAATTTCTTTCAAATTATTTCTATTGAATAAACAATGTGAATTCAACTTTCCTGTCTGGTGATACAGTAGGTGGTCAAATATCTTTCATTCAAGCCAAAATGGATATTTATCGGTTATTATTCTATCTTCATCCATATTACCTACCCTTAAAACAAAAAGCAAAAGATTTCTGGCAATATTAGTTCTATTCTACAAATTGAAAAGTTTCCCGTAATGAGAAAATCCCACTGGAACCCCAAACGACGCCCCTTTCAAACGGCCTCCAAGCAAATCAAATTGGCGGTGGTTATGCCAAGGAGAGGGACTGTGTTACATATATACATGTATTTAATATACAATAATAATAGTATATGTATTTACTTTGAAAAATACAGACTTGATGCATACGTGATACTACATGGGCATTTGGTAAAACAAATTTGCATTCTTCAAAAAATGAAAAAACCATTAAATTAATATTATTGTATTTTTACCATGATTTATCCATAAAGCTGACACATGTGCTGAACCCTGCAGGCTCTAGTTCAGAAATAAAACGATCGTGTCTTTGTTGAGAACAGCACTTGATGATCCGTGACAGTGTTGTGTCCGAATTAGATCTGGGAAGTTATAGGTGCACTATTCAGAAGTCATTAGCAGATTTCTGTGATGTTTGCTCCGAGTAGAATTATTTCAACGGCATTTGCAGCTCGCAAGCTAACAACACAAGACTCAAATACAATTATAATTCATGAGCTGTGGCTGGCTTGCATTTTACTGTGCGGAGAACAAGGGCAAATACATCATTGCTCTGACAGACCTGCTCATAAGACTGCATTTAAGCGTTTGAATATTTTATGGACACACTTGCAACACGGCAGGGCTTAAAACCAAAGCAGGGTTTTCACAGCCCTATTTTTAAAGGGACTGGTCTGAAATACCCAGAGATAGATGAATAGAAAAGTGTTATCCCTTTTCTGTCTCGTCGTCCAGCGTTTCAAAGTCATCTGACCATTTTTGGGCATTCATTTTTGTCTTTCAACTTTTATTTACAAGTAATTCTCAAATGTGCCATCTTTAGGAGTCTATTGAAACAGTCTTTACAAAGAAGTTTGGCTGTAGACCTCAGAGGGGCCAGTGTGTGTTTCCTGAAAGAGGAACTGTGAGCATCGATTCAAGGTGCTGAGGAGGCCTTTTCTCTGCCATGTGAGTCCAGATCAATAGCACTTCTTCCCCTGGGACTCGGTTTGTCCCACTACTTCACATCACAGTCCTTCAAGTGAGAAGTGTGTCCTCTCCGAAATTCTCCCATTTACTGTCGCTAATGGATAGATGCTCATTTAGAGTTTGTGTCTTACTTTTTGATATAGGAGCAAATTTGTACTAATTCATTCTGCTTAGGTCATTTTAATTTTAATTTTAACTCAGACTTTCAGGATAACGTCCATAATATTATATCTCGAGAGAATTGTCACAAAACTGTAGAAATGCATTTCTCATGATGCCTGATGTGTGTGAGTCCGTTCAGATTCTAAAGTTGGTTCATCACCAGACAAAGACAGATTGTGGTGGTGGTGAAATAGCTTCTTTTTTAGTCAGCATGGTATATTAGCTAATTTATAGAAACATAGATTACATGGTCTGAGTCAGTGTCTCCCAAAGTGGGGTCCGCGAGGGTATTGCAGGGGGTCATAAAAAATAAAAAATAAATTATGTAATTGTTGTATGTTAAATTAATAATATTTTGCTTGTAAAGTTTAAATAATTGTGTTCATTATTTTATTTGAATAATCAAATTGTAATCATTTTTGTATTAGAAAATGGGGTGCGTCATTAATATGTTTGTAGCAGAGGCTATTTCCCCCAAATAAAATGACGTGAAGAGCCTATTTTTAACGTTCTTCTTGGTTAGTATTTCGGGGGGGCCACACAGACCCGTCAGATTTTTAAGGGGGCCGCAGCGTTACTGACTTTGGGAATGGCTGGTCTAGGTAATGCATTTGGAAACTACTTTTGGTTGCTGTTGTTATTTATTGGATGTGGGGTTTTGTTACTCATGTGCCACTTAAATTCTCGTATAATGCAATATTACTTCCCCCCTTCAGCACCATGGACAGCTCTTGGCCCCATCAAATATTGCTGTCAGTTTAACTATCGCTTTAACTGCTGTTGAAACCAGATCAGATGTTTTGAAAGCCACATAATCTGGTGCTTCCTTCCACGATTGTGAACACGCCCACCTTAGTTTAAAGCAGGTCCCGGCTTCACAAAGGGAGGGCACTGGGTATTAAAGCTGTGATTATGCCTCTCTTTGTGCAGGCTGTTATTTTGAACTAAAATTTAATTCAAATGTGGAAAGATTTTCTTATATTTCCCTTTCGGAGATCCCCTCTCTTTATTGTTCACATTCTGGGGGTGACCAGACTTCCTTCCACACCCAACACTACAATATGAAAGACCTTAGAAAAGATACTCTATAGCCAAAAGGAGTGTTTATTCAGTCGATTGAGAAGTGTCTTAATAGTATTTTGTCATTTCCACGCTAAACAATGATTCATTCGCTTCCAACAACATAGAGAATTGAATTTAGTTGAAACAGCAGCGTTTTTGATTTGTGGGTTGAAGAGCAGTGCACGGAATATAACCATCCATCAGATTAAAATATCTATCTCCACAGCATGGGTGCATTCAGCAATAAAAAGATGTGAAGTTCTATCACATGGCTCCAACAGGACACAGTTTCACGTCTCACTCTCACAGAAAGATGGGATGAATGATTGTGCTGTTTTTAGTTGACGAGGCAAGTCTGCATTCATGTACAGTGAGCTTTGGATAACACACGTGTCAGTATCAGTGTTTTTTTTAATTTTTATTATTGAATAATGTTCTGCACTTTACAGGTATATTTCTCACTTTTCACTGAGGAATACCTACATTGAAACATACTTGTTTAGATTTAAAAATAATTAAACAATAAAATAGAAAAATACCTTCTACTGTATGAGAGACTGGTGCCATTTGCCTCAAACATAGTTCTGTGGAATATTCATAGAGACATAGTTGAAGCAGTTCACACCACGTTCTAATGTGTGTGTGTATGTGTGTGTGTGTGTGTGTGTGTGTGTGTGTGTGTGTGTGTGTGTGTGTGTGTGTGTGTGTGTGTGTGTGTGTGTGTGTGTGTGTGTGTGTGTGTGTGTGTGTGTGTGTGTGTGTGTGTGTGTGTGTGTGTGCAGTCCAGGAACAGTCTGCAGAATGGGGACATGGACGGCGCTCGGAGACTGGGACGACTGGCTCGCCTCCTCAGCATCGTCTCCATCAGTCTGGGCCTCCTGGGCATCATTGTCTTTGTCTCAGGTAACAACAGATATGAGAATACAGCAACAATATAATGTCAGGAGGGAATTATAACAACTTATTTGTCCATTCAGAGCGTTAAAAATATTGTTTTTGCTATAATTCTACCCTATATTCTATTACCCCATATGTTGTTAACTCTCTCCTTTTATAACAATAGAAAAAACATATTTTTTAGAACATTACAATTCTTCATCACATCACAAAATCATCACTATTTTGGTTTATTTCTGTTACGCCTAAAATGACAACAGCAGTCGATCATCTTGGGGAAAACACAATGCCAACCATAATAACTACACATTCTTTCACACCATCCACTTAAACAAGCCAGCTCCACTCGGAGGCCCTACTGCATTACCATTACAGTGTGATATATGATCGCAGCCCACGAGCGTGAGGGAGTGTGTCCAGGCTCAGCACAATTCATCAATGTGTGTGTGCGCGTGCGTGTGTGTGTGTGTAGGTGTGTGCGTACGTGTGTGCGTGTGCGGATTGATTTAGGAGTGCGGAGCGGACTGCTGCACTCTGATTTAACCTGTCACTGTCTCGATCTGACCTTAACATGTGCCTCTGTCTTCTCTGCTCTTTTCTAGTCAAATGGAGAAAGTAACAGAGCTGCAAGACCGGTGAAACATTTGAAACTTTTTTTATATAATTTTTAATAACCATTGCAAAAAAAACTTTTATCTTATTTTTTGTAATCCTTTTTCTATCTAATCAAAGGTATTTTTTGTATGATTTATTATCACTATGCTTTTATGCTTTGGATTCATGCCTTTCTCTGTGACTTCTGTTGATCGCTGCTTGTATTGAATTATTTATGAATTTAGTCTCTGTTAGTGCAGCACATACAAACAAGCAAAACGACATTCAGAAAATGAGTGAAAATGAATGCATGTGTTAAATACAACAATATAAGCTTGACAAAACAAAGAGGCTACAACAGGGGAACAGAAACAGACGTAAAAGGACAATGACTTATGTTGAAACATTTACAAGCGTATGCATTTACCATACTGTACAACAATACAAACTATAACACACTTGTTTTTATATGGATTCCAAGTGGGACGAGGATGTTAGTGAGGAGGTCATGGGATGTGTGTTTATGAGAGTTTAGAAGCTATTCAATTGCATGTTTGAGTGCTATGTTCTTTGGACACTTTTGTCATTTTAAAAAGTCCAAAAGGCCAATGGTTTGCACAGGGACACAGGATAATTTGTGTAAATATTGCCAAGCTCCAATGAATGACTTCTTAATGAGGATGCATGATGAAGACCTCCTTTACTCCATGGATGGACGAGTGCCTATTCATTGTTCTTTTGATACCATACTTTGTAAAATGATTCATCATGCCACGTATGCTCTGCCTTTCTGCATACATTATTGTAATAATCCAAGAAAAGATTGTCAATCATTGAACGATTGGCTATATAATCTCACATGTACTTATTTTGGAAATATATGCAATATGGATGCATGCTGGGTCAAACTTTGTCAGTGACATTTACAGTGTAACAATAATGAATTTAGATGTAACAATAATCCAAGCATTATAACACAGTAATACATTTCTCTGTGGACAGTGCCAGGCTTCTGTTCTCAGCACATGTTTATCCCTTAATTGTAAATTAAGCCTCTATAGTACTCGCTCTTTTCCATGACCAAAGTATAGTCTAAATTAAATGTACATTAATCATGTCTTCAAGGGCTTACAGGCACACATAACGTGTATTTGAAAACATCTAGCCTACTTTTGAAAACATCAATGTTTTTTTGTATGCATTACTATGTACAACATTTGAAACATTAAACACCCGCTCAACACCTTTGTCACTACGTAACTATGCACCATGTGAAAACTGCATTTCCCAAGATATCCCTGTGTATGACATCATTAAACAGCAACACCCAAAGACTCTGCAATAGTATGTAATCTCAAAGGATTCAAGACAAATCTGTGTTCAAAATCATTCTTCTAAAACACCATTTCCCTGATCTCATCTGTGCTGTACATTTGTGCATGTCTGGAATAAACATTGCCATGCAAAGCTTTCATGTTTTGTCTGATTTTAAATAAAACCCAAAAACTGACAGCAAAGCATTATACAAGAGTCACATGTGTTTTCAATAGTAAGGAAGAAACTGTACGAGTCTGAAGCATAGACAAGATTTCCACGTCCCTTTCTTCTGTGAACCAATACAGAAAGTAAACATGTTCTGGTAACAATTTTAATGTAATTCTTGATAACAAAAACAGATGGTTATCTGGTCAGAATAAGCTTTGAGTTTCCAGTTTGAATGCTGAAAAACAGTTGTATTAAAGACAATAGGAACACAAGATAGTTATATACTCTTTGTAAAACCAGTAAGAGTGCAAACAAGAATGCTTCCAACACTACTGTTGCATGAGACTGCTCCCATTAAAGCTTTCCACTGAACAGGCTGTCACTGTCAGCTCCAGAGCTCTCCCAGTGAGCCATCATGAATGGGATTCAGAGCAGTAGTTTCAGTCTTCTGTGCAAATTAGCCTCAAAAAGGAACAGAGAATTTATAGTTTCCAAACAGTAGTGGGCATTATAAATATTATTTAGTAAAGTAAGTTTTTGGCGTCCCTAAAACAGGTTATGCTTGTAATCGAGAGAAAAAAAAAAGTGTCAGCTTTTAAAGAGTAAGAACAATGAAAGAATGAAAAGAACAAATCAAGCACTATACAAAAATATGGTTGAGAATGTATTTTGAAAAATAAACAATATTTAATAATCGTGTCACACAGTTATGAATAATTTATTATTTTACACGCGCACAATACCTCATTTACCCAATTAAAATGGATAGCCAACTAAAAATCCTTCCATCTAATCCTTTTCACAGTCCCAGTGTTTATAATCTCATCCCAGCTGTACAAGTTCTGGTCTCATGTCTCATTATGGCAGAGTAAGTCAGACCAAATGTCCACACGTTCAGTCTCCAGGATTCTTCACCGTCTGAAAGTCCCTCTCGCGGTGCACAGTGAAACAGTCTCTGGTCTCCAGGGCTTCTGTCACTACGATGGTTTCAGTGGAAAGCATAGAGCAGCAGGATGATGGTGCACACCCCAATGACCGCGCCCAGGATCAGAGAGTCCCGCCTCTTGCGTAGGTTGACCCGCTGGATGAGATTGTTGATGGTTGGGAATCGGTCTAAGTTTTAAGAGTTAAGCAGTAACAGTCAGGTGTATTATAGTCTATAAAAAATTCAATTTTTGCGGCTCTAAATCAGCACAAAAAGAGTGTACAGTACAAAAGGATACTAGCCAGAGTGTTGACCTTGCTCTGTATGGACTTTAGCACACCCCTCTGCGATGTCATGTTCTCCTTAGTTGCCATGGCAATACTGAAAAATGATCAATTAGCGACAAAACACAAATCCAACATATAGCATAAAACATGACAATTGTGACCAAAGTCACAATCCAACACTGACCAAACTTTACCGCGTATAAATGTATAATGGCGTTTATGGCGTTTATTAGTAACAACTTATGGAACCATTACCAGCAGGAAATGTGAGACTTGACTTTGTGAGAGTGCTTCACTGACATTGAATAAATTGAAGAGTAAAAACACAAGTGAGACTATGATGATGAAGTACATAAGAATCGATGATGACAACAGCCAAGTTAAATGTGGGTAGCAGCTTCTACAGATGCTGCGGAGCGAGGCGTATCATGTTCTCTTCAGTCAGGAAGACTGCAGCACCGTCAGCACGACCAATACTTTATTTCTCAAGAGCCACGTTGAGTTTAATTCCCAAACGGAGCAGCCTCATAATCATATCATTCATTTGGACCACGCACCAGCCTATTGAAACCAGGGGCTGCTGCTAAAGAGCAGAACACAGGAGATGTGTGAGGGCTTTACCTTATCGTGTCGTCTACTAGACGCTCGGAACTAGAGAGGAGAGAGCAGAAGACTCAGGAAAATGATTTCACATGGGATGCATTATTTATAGCATTTTATATCAAGATGACACAATTCATTTTAGAACACTTATTAAAAGAAAGTCAGCGCAGAGGGCATGTCCTCAAAGGCAATGTCCCTGAAACATTATAATGAAATAAGAGATTTTTTACAGCGGTAAAATGATGCAGAAGAGTTACATCTCAAAATTGTAAACTAGACTCACACATGTTACATAAACTTCTAGTTTCCACTTTCTTGTTCTAGAAGATTACTTTTGGTTTGGAATACTAGTGGATAGTGATATTTTAAAAAAGGGTTAAAACATAAGATCTTTACCTAAATCTTATATTTAGCCGTGTTGATTGTGGAATCCAAGCATGTATACTTTATATATCTGGGTTAAGTTTGTCATATGAATAATTCAAAATGTGTATCTGTTGCTGTTGGTGCACGTTACTCTTGGGGTCGTATTGACCGATTACCTCCCCAGGGGATAGAACCTTCCAGGGCAAGAGCATTCATCTCCATGTGTGTCATTTGTGTTGGTAATGTCTCTAAACAGCCGTTTAAATTGTTACTAATGGAGGAGAATCTGAACTTGTTTGGAGCTTCATGTGAAATTGGAGAACTGACCTAAGTAAATTTGTATACTGCGGGGGACAACAAGTGAAGACTGGAGAGAATCGAACAAAGATTGGTTTACTGATTAAGAAGGAAATGAAACAAATGGTAAACAATATTCTAAATACAAATCATGCTCATGTAATTACAGCATCGTTTTAGTTTTATTGTGGTGGTCACTAATACTTTGGACCGAAATTCTAACCACATCCATGGACATGAAAACAAACAACAGTCTCTTGTAATGTTATACTGTTGTTGTGTATGATGTGTTGTCTCAACACAAGAACTACACTATGGCTCATTATGAAGGCTCTGAGGAGAAGGTGGAGCAGAGATGAGAGCCATCCTCTGGACTCAGAGCTGCTCCACCTACAGTCGCACCATCATATAATGCTGCTATCTCAGGAACAGAAAAATCCTTTAATCCTTGTTTTATTGTTACTTTTACAACCTTTTAAATTATGTCTCTTTATGCAAATATGTATGTAAGCAAATGGACAATGCCATTTCCCTCAAGATCAAAAAACTACTGACCATCTACCTACTATGGCGTTACTTTTTCAGACTTTATGGGCATTTTGTATCAATTGGGCCTGTTGGCAATTGCCCAAATGTCTGAAACTAAAAAGAAATGTGAAAATTACACAATTTTTTTTAACCCTAACCCCACTTTTCCAATTGTTTGCATGATATATAATAAAGGCAGGACATTTAGAATACTGTAAGAGTGACTCTGATAATGAGCAGAGCCGCAGAGAACAGGCTGTTCTAATGTGACTTTCAGTCTATAGTTTATTCATAACACTCGGCCGGAGAGGCTGCCAGCAAAGGCTAAAATGAGCAGAAATATATTCGCTTTTTACATGTGTTAAAAAAAAATAAAAAATAAAAAAACATAGAAAGCCATATTGTTTTCTCTCTTTAGACAAATTATATTCATTAGATTCAGAATATCAGGAGAGATTAAGAATTATGCATACTTTTAGTGACTAATGTGAGCTAATAACCGTTTTGTATGACGTGCCAGCCAGGAATAAAGTAATAGGAAAATTAATAGATATATAAATGTAATAAAAAGGTTAAAAGTAAACATGATCCAAGTAAGGCCCATTTACAAATAATGATGGATGTCATTACATCAGCCCAATATAACATTGTAAATACTTGAGAAAAGGCTCCATAACGCTCCAAAGTACAAAAGATATTCAGCATTCTTCAAAAGGCTGTGCTGTACATAAAGATGAGTTATTGTAGCATTGACTTCTGAAGCAGAAGCAGTTTTTTTGCTAGAACAAGATGAGCAACCCCAAAAACTGGCAGCTATAAAGCATTTGGAACTGCTGAGAGGGGATGTAGCCGCCAAGAGCATCTTGCCAAAGCTGTAAAAACCCCTTTAAGAATAAGACGAGATACTTACTTTCTGAGGTGCTCGTGTTCTTTTAGAAACAACTCTGTTCGTCTGTTGTTGACTCCTGACCCACTTTTGTATGTTCTGAAAAAGAAACACAAATGTACAGTTAAGTGAAACTATACTTTAAATTCTTACATATTCTATCGAACATATTGTTTGGAAGTTGCCAATGACAACAAGTAAATACAGAAAACATGTAGATTGTATGTTTTATTTTGTCCACGTTTAACTGAACCAATGTGTGGAAATATGTGTGAAATCCTAAATGACCCATCGACTACAGGTTTAGAGAGTAAAGAGAAGGAAAAGGCTGCAGTTTAAATGAAGGGTTAAGGCAGAGTACTAGTCATTTACTAATGGAAACAGCACTGAAGCCAAAGGCAACAAGGATGAAATATTCATAAATAACTATTTCAAATAAATGCCCATTAATGATATTAATAAAGTATCATGACATTGTAATCATTGGCAGGAGCGTATGAACCACTGAAACAGAAGATACTGTAATAGTATCTACACTGCCCTCTAGTTGCAAACTGACTGATGCTAAACACAGAATACAAGCTTTAATTTAGTGATGCAGAGTTGAAGAACGTCTTGAAGAAACACTTTGCACCCCTGTCTCAAACGGAAACCCTAAAAACTATAGAAAAGCCGCCACCTGTTGGTTGGTTTTGAGAACTGCATAAGACAGAAATAAGGCAAAAGTGAAACGAGCTCAAATCCTTCTGGTCTAAACTAGATCCAAGATTGATACTTGTTTCAGGTAAAAAGTTTGAGCCTATAATCTCTATTTTCACTACACACAGATAATAACAAAATAATAGCTGAGAAATCCATGTTAGATAATTACATTGAATTCCAAAGTGTGAAGCCTAAATATTACAATTTTTGTTATTAAAACCGTAACTTACTCTATATCTTTCCGGACAGAACCTAGTAGATCTTCCCTTTCTCTGATTGCGAGGAAGTTGCCTTTGGTTTTGTGAAACTCTTGTGTGTAATCCTGAAACATACACAGTCAAGTAAAGATAGTCTACAGATGATGCTTAAATTACTATCAAAGCCAACATAGTGAAGAACATGAGGAAGGACAAACCTGCAGGATGTCTCTATGTCTCTGTAGAGTGTGCATAAGGGCAGCACTAAGAGACGCAGAACCAGGTGTGTTTGTGTACTCTGCCATTTTATCATTCACTGCAGTTAGCTGAAAAATAAAGCAAACATATGGTTAAGCACACATCAATTATCACAACTGGTACACAGATGTAGAATTCATAGACAGTACTTTAGACAGTAGCTGCTCCAACTCCACGGACATTGTGTCAAACATCCGGTCCTGGGTAGAGTTGTTGAGCAGTGGAGTAGTGTCAGACCTATAATGAGAATAGTTACTGAATATACAATATTTCACTAGTGCTGCAGTTGCCACAATTGAAAACCGACAGAATAATGAATACAAAAAAATAGAAGAAACAAAGCTTAAGATTAAGCCATAATCATGAAAATGCAGTCTAATGGTTCAATGCTCTGATCTGTTCTTGGTGAATTGACTATTTTGTAAAGCTACCAGCTAATTTTCTAGTACAATTTTCTATAGTAAAAAATATACAAATAAAAACAATAGAAGATCAATTTATTAGAATATGAACGAGCAAGAAATGTGCTGCTAAATGGTAGTGATATTGTATTTTGTAAAAAGTTACTTGTAACAAGCTACCTTGGTAACTTTTTATTGAACAGGATTTTATTTTGCATGTATTGTCAAGGACGACAGATGGAAAGTAGCATGGTGCTAAATAAGATAAGATAGACCTAATCTGGTAAATCTGGTGCAGCCATCATTTGAATGTAACTGCACATTGTCAATAATAAACTAAATGGAGCCATAAGGGACTCAAACAGAGCAAAAGAGAGGGAAAATATTAAAACGCGACAATGTTAAAAAAGACAATCCCTGTTCTACAAAACTGAAAAGGTTCTGCGTTAACCAATGTTGCTGTACCGTGAAAGCCTTACGTTTCTGAACGCCGTCCATCTCTGCAGCTGCTGTAGCTGGTACACAGTTTGCTGAATGAGACCAGTTTCAGGTCGAGTTCATTCTCGAGCTGTCTGGCTTGTTTTCGGAGATCTGGGTGAGATAAACAACAAAAACTAACAATCAACCTTTTCATTGGTGTTGCCATCCAACTGATCAGATGTAAAAAAAAAATAATAATAATAATCAAAAAAAAACATTTGAAAGTGAAAAAAGAGGAAAATAATACAGACAGCTGTAGCACTCATAATTTCACAATAATGATGTCACAGTAATTACTTGTTTTAATATAATTTGTGATACCATGGCAACACAAATGCGCAGCACAATGGGAACTTCACTTCTAAGTTTTACATACATTGATCATGTTTTTGACATCAGAGTAAATAGTGTGCCACACTTAAAGCCACGAAGCCCTGTCATTTGTGTACACTTAAAACATACAGCTTCAGGCGTTGTAGGAAAATGGAGCCGAGACATTTCTTGGATCTTTCTATTGATCTGCGAATGACGCAAGTATGGCACGTAGTTATGGATTAGACTGGAGTGGTGATTATACTGAATATTGCTTGTTCAGTCTCTACGCGTTAAGGGAGTGATGTTGATTTAAGTGTTCTAACAAGAACTTGGACCGTGTTTCGTTTGTTAGCCTCTGACGAGCGCACAAATATAATGTTGCATGTATAAAACCCGCAGAACTGCTCCTGTCGCAAACCCCAAACGATGTGAAGACAAACTAACCTCTGTCAAGTCAAACTAAACTGTGTGAATCGTATAAACGCACATTACTCTTACCTTCCCAGTAGCCGCTGCCCCCGAGCCCCGCCATCTTTGTTTGCGTGCGACGTCACCAACTTCCGGGTTGTGTCACGTGAGTATTGAAATCTCTCGGATATTTGATTTGAATAGACATATAGTGTTAATAATAAACTATAACAATGCAACTGTTAAAACACGTGACTCAACTCTTTATTGAGTCTTTAAATAACATGCCGTGATGACCACAAGAAGCTTACAAAAAGTGTCTGACATGATTACCTGCATCAAAGACTTTACACATCAGTTTCCAGTAGTTCAAATATTGAAGAAAAAAAAATATTCACAAGGCTATTTAAATATTATTTAGTTCATCCAGTTCTTGTGTATCCTATAGGCTTGAGTTAAATTAATCAACTTAATTTGCTTATTTATACAACCTAGAGATATGCTGGCATTCAAAAATATCTTAAGTGTAATGATCGCATGTGAATGGGACCGTATTCAAAAAGAAACATTCACATTTTTTCCCATTCACAAATATTGCAGCCATCATTTATACGCCATTAACGTTATCACTTTCTCTACCACCTGAGGATATCAATTTCTCCACAATGAAGAACTTTGATTTACACATCAGCCTTATGTAGGCCAACATTTTTAAAAAGCCAAGGCACAGTACGGATCTTAAAAAATTAACAGTGGTATAGCTGCTTGTGTCTCAGGTTCATTTCTGAAAGTAACATATGTTGAGCAATTTATTGTAATGCGACAACATCCAGTCCTGTCAGTTTGAAGAGGAAACAAGCAGACATTCTGCCAATTTCATTCGCATCACAACTCTAAATACTCATGAAGTAAACCAATTTATGAAGAAATTCTCCAGTGGATTCAGTATAAACAATTATTACTAGTCAGTTTGTGCCGATGCTAAACCAGCATTAGGACAATCAGTTCATCGACATGTATAAGGGTTTTCCTTTGCTTTCATAACATCAGATTTTGTTGGCATACAATGTTTCCTCTTCGCTTTCACTCTCATCTTGAAATTCGTGAGAAAGCAGTGACTTCTTGGAGCCCATTGACGTAAGCCGAATTTCATCTTCATAATCGTCTCGATGCTGGCGCAATCGATGAAACCCATCTTTCTGGTTGGATTTGGCAGCACACACACACCAGATGATACATGCAGTAACCACTAATGCAGTCATGGACGCAGCTGCAAAAGGAAAGGGACACATGATTATTCACCTTCTTTAGCATTTACATTTTTAAAATTGTTTCACATACAGTGTTGAATTTAACATTTGCAATAAAAAGCTTTACCTGCACTGGCAACCACAAACTCTCTTGGCAGCCCAAATATGCTGTTATCCATGTCAAACTCTATTATTATGCAGCTTGCTGCCTCATATGAAGAAACAGTCACCTGAAAAACAAAGCAAACGTCAAGAAAACATTTTCTTGTGGAAAATCCCACAGTATGACCCAGACTCTCAGCCCCGCACCTGTTTAGTGCTACTGGTAAAGCAAAGATAATTAGCTGCAGGTGTGTGTGCTTGACAAAAGCTCTGTGCATACATGGGGTGGTTCTGAAGAAGAGTAAGTCCTCAATCATTGTCAATGTATCATGCAAAATAATGTGTTGCTTATTTACTTTCAGGAAGGTGACATGGGTCCCTATGGACTAAGACATACTATACGTTGTCCAAAAAAGTATGGAGAAACCACAAAGACGAGAAATTGTATGTCAGAAGAATATACCATTGACGTTGTAAGTGAAGCACGATCTGATAGACCTTTGGAGGATAGGTTTATAAAGAACGCAGCAGTCCTTCCAGAGCTGCGCTTACCCAGGCGCAACCAACACACCCACCACAGGACCACAAAGGCCGAGCCCCTTCTGATCCATGGATTCACAGTTCCGGAGTACCAGAACACCTATCATTCTGTGGTAGACCCTCTTCTCCAGCGCGCTGGTGGAACGCTTGTTCCTTACAGCCTTCAACTGGGGCGTACTATTAAGGAGCACCTTTTTGAAGAGCTAGCCTACCCTACTCTCCATATTTTGGAGTCCCTTGACAAAAAGTTGGAAATTACAGAAAAGTTTTGTATTCTTCGACCCACGCCCTTCATAAATATAGATGATACAGGACTGTCCTTGTTTCGTTAAAAACAAGCATATTTTTCTCTAGGCTAATTAATGTAAAGATAATCTATTTTTATTTTGTAATCCACGTGAGCCAATTTATAAACATTTAATGAAAATAAAATCAATAGATAATGTAAACATTTTGCACAATTTACCTCCTGTCGTTGCTGCTGATAACCTTCTGCGACAGCTTCAATGCTATGGGTGCCTGGTTCCAGAAGTGCATGGAAGTAACCTTGTTCTCCTGTAAAGACTCTTACTCCACCATTTAGCACAATGATGGCACCAGCGATGGGCTTTCCACTCTTATCTCGCACAATACCTCGTACTCCTTTATGCACCTGGTTTGAATAAAAGCCTTTTTATATTTGTCTGGCAAAGTTGATGTATGATGTTTGACCAAAACTTTGATGGCTTACCTCCACTAGCATGCTAAGAAGTGATTTTTTGTTTTCTGCCCAGAGTGTGGCCAGCTGGTCAGCTGGAGGGAATAGACAGCAGCCTGTGTACAATGTAATTTCAGGACAGTGGCCGAAGTCCATACTATAGTCCTAAAGAAAAAGAAAAAGAAAAATCAACACAGTTAAACCAAATTAACTTCTAAGTTACAAAAGTAGAATTTCAATTTGACAAACCTTCATACTGCCCATGTGACTATGCCTCTCTGCTGCCCTCATCACTCCATCAGGAATATTGCTTGCTAAAAAAAACATGCAATTAATTGTAATGCAATGCAATGTATTATGTTTTACAATAAGCTGCTTACATTGTCCATTATTAGTGCACCCAGAGTTTCCAAGGTGCATCTTTGGATGATTGCTGGCATAAACATTAGCCAGATACTTCAGAGTGCCTTCATTTTCAACTAAGAGAAACAACAACAATGTGGGAGATCAGTTTTGACAGCCTCTACATATAGAATAGGAATAAAGGATTACCTGTCTGGACAGGCTTATCATAGGGATAAGTAGCAACGAGTGCGCCTCCATCCAGGGCCACAGACAGAGTGAAGCCTTTCTCTTGAATCAGGCCCATCATCGCTCTGGTCTCAGGCTGGACTTCTACAACACGCTGAGACGCATTTCCTAAACAATGGAAAGTCATTAGTTGGAGACAATAGTTAGACATTATTACTATCAAGTTGGTATAATTCATTTACCAAAAAAATCAGTGTCCAGGTCTTTGCCATGAAAGTTTGTTAGTCCTTGAAGAGAGGTGCATTGTTTTTCAACAGCTTGTTCTCGTCCATCAGGATTAATTGAAGGCACAATCACAATCCGGGTGTCATTGATCAGCTACGAGTACAAGACATATGTAGCAACTTTATACTAATCAAATAAATTACATCTCATGACAATCCTAAACATACTCGCGAGATGGTTGGATTCTTTCCGTAGTTGATGCATAGAAAAGCGGCAAATTCAAGCAGGAGCTCAGTTCCCACTGGGGCGTTACCATGAATCCCTGCTACAAAACGAATCTTGGGTTCAGATGGTTCTGCCTCACCAGGTCGGTTGGAAATTTCCAGGGCCCAAATGGTTCGAACCTCTACACTTTGGCCAAGACTAGACAGAAAACATATGTTGACAGTAATCAGAAAAAAATATGTTTCCTATAATTATTCAGAGGGGTTTTGCATACCTTCGTAAAGATGTGATTTTAGGGAAGTTAAGAGTAAGACCTCTCATAAACGCAGACATCTCTTTGTAATGGCGGTATCGGAAACTACTTTCTGTGGCTGTGTTTTTTACCAGCAGGTCCAGACCTTCTCCCAGAGACAGATCTTTAATTAAGCTCTGAAATTCTTTCTCAGATGGATTTTGAGTGGGCTGGGGCCCGCTGTGAGCCGGTCTGTTAGTGTCGGAGTGAACACGTATCAATTTGAAGTCCACCACCTCTGCTCGATCCTTTGAGACTGTGGCATAGGTTTTGACGGGTTTGTACCTGAAAAAAAAAAAAATATATATATATCTTTTTAGGGCTGTCACACGATTAATTTTTTTTAGTTGATTAATCGCATAGTAATGGTGAGTTAACTCACGATTAATCGCATTTTAAACATTCTATTTCAAATCCACTCCAATTGAAGTTAAATTAGATTTTCAAATGTAATGACACATTGTTATTCATACCAAATGTACTTAAATCTGTTTGACTTGCTTACAACCTTCTACTTTTGGGTACAACCAACAAGAGCTGTTAATGAAAGGGAAAATGTAGGTACCACAGCTTTAATTTTTATTGAAATCACCAGAAAGCTGAGAAAAAAGAGGCACATGTGCATCTAGCTGTTTTCAAACCATTCATAGAGCAATGCTGCCATCTGCTGGCTCGATAAAATATTGCCTCAAGCCTTACATATTTGATGCAATAGACATCTGGGAACGTGAAAATAGCGCGAAACGCAATTGACGTGTTAACACGTCAATGGGTTAATGCGTTAATTGTTTTTTAACGCGTTAATGAAAACGGTAATTAACGTGAATTAACGCGATAATTTTGACAGCCCTAATTTTTTTTAAAGAAAGCATGACACAGTCATGCTTTGTTGACAAATGACATGAGCTTACTTACCCATGAGCAGAAGCAGTGATCGAGTATGTTCCAGGTGCCAGCAGTCTCCAGTAGTCACCAGTTCGGGCAGTGGTGACATTATGGTCTATGGTCTGAACACTTATAGTGGCATTGGGGATCCCTGTGCCATCACTTATGTCAGACACAGTGCCCTTCACACCAGTATGCACCTGCAAACATGACACATACATAAACATGCTGACAAGAGGCTCTGAGAAATATGTATGAAGAAAATTGGTTTTACTTGATGTATGAACTTCAGCAATGCCCGTCGATTCTGCTCCCAATATCCAGGCAGGTCCTTAGCAAAGGGGTATTTAATACAACCCAGCTCAATGGTAACCTCAAAGCAATTGGTATTTAAGTAATTCCAATCTTGCATTCCGCCTGAAACGTCAGAATAAAAATTTTAGCTGTTATTATGATGAAAGAAAAAAAAAAAAAAGAGTAAAAAGCACATTAGGAAGATCGTGTACCAGCGACATTATACCAACTGGCTCCATTTGTGATGCCGTCTTTAAAATACTCATTTGTGTACAAGTCTTCACAGGGGTGACCATTGTGCATTATCGGATTTTCCTGTAAAAAAAATAAACTGAATACTACTGTATTTGGTGCTAACAAAAACATCTTTCCCAGCAATCATCACATTATTCTACACACACACAGATACCTAGTTTCAAATTACCTGTGAATAGGCTTTGGACAACCGCTGAAAGACGTCATCATCCGGACACTGACTATATTCAGTTTGCATTTTTCTGTCATCGTCGAAAGGATAGTTCACTACCAAGGAACCTATGTTTCACAGTGGATTGGAAAATAATCAGTCTGGCTTAAAACTTTGTGACAGACAGAAAACAAGTACGGACAAATGCATACCTCCATGAAGGTTTGCAGACAGTACAAAAGGAATACTCTTTAGCCAATTCATAACCGCGATTGTTTCTGGCTGTCTGGGATCTGTGATGGTGACAAATTGGTCTGGAAAGTTGCGGTTCAAGTCAAAGTCATTGCTGTTGTTGCGGCCATCATAGCCTTGTTCGTCCCCTGTAGAAGATAAATGCACAATGTTTAAACAATTTCATTCATACTATTACAGTATTCTTACTTTTGTACCTTCTGTGGCAACCTCGTAGCCATCAGGGTTCATTGAAGGCATAATGTGAATGCGGGTATTATTGACCAAATAAGTGACCTCTGGATCGGTGCCATAGTTTCGGCACAAGTACTCAATGAGGTTAAGCATTAACTCGCGGCCCACAACCTCGTTGCCATGCATGTTGGCCACGTACTTAAACTCCGGCTCACCTAAAAACCATGGAAAAGAAGGTTAGTATAATAATGAGTGGGTAATGATGACTATAGTTGCCTAGAATGAGTCTGGTGTGTGTGTGAATGGTTGGTGGTGGTCGGAGGGGTCGATGGCACATACTGGTTGCCTCGCTTCTGTCAGTGTGCCCCAGGGCAGCTGTGGCTACAGTAGTAGTTTATCACCACCGTGTATGGAGTGAAAGAATAATGACACATGTGAAGCGTCTTTGAGTGTCCAGAAAAGCGCTATATAAAACCGATGCATTATTATTATTATTATAGTAGTGGCAGTTTATTTCTTATGTCAATATATACATTAGAACTTAGGTCACATGTTTCCAAAGATCAAATACATTTTACAAGAAAGAAAAACTAAAACGTGTGAACTAAGATTTTTTTTGTGCTGAATAATGCCTGAATAATAAGTAAAGCATACCATGTTCATGATCTTTGGGATTATCCGAGATGACCATCACAAGCAGCTCTCGGTCTTCTACTGAATGGCCCACAGAGTAAAGATGAGTGATGGAGGGGAACTCGCTGCTATACTTGCGTAAAAATAGTCCCATGTCCGCAAAGTGGTGGTGTCTGAATTCTTCAGGTTGAACCGGCTGGTGCTGAGTTGGTAGTACAGGAGGCACATTCTCGTTGTCTGAGGAATTAGATTTGTTTTCAGGAGATTTTGTGAAGCCTACAGTGATGCTGGAAAGGTGTCCATTGTTGGTCATTGGTGGAGGCACTGTGGTCCAAGCAGGAGCGTCACTGATTGGTGCCAAGGTGAAATTAAGTTTGGTGGTCTCGTCTTCAGACACCTGTACACCGTGGACTGTCACTGAAACATACCTGTTGAAGAAAACACCACAGTCTGTTTTAGTGAGAAATATATGCCTTCATTGTAGCTAATTCAACAAAATAGGTAACTTTTTGGATTCATAACAGGCAGCTGAAATCACTTACCCAGGAGCTATAACTGTGATGTTGTGTGTTCCTGGAAGCAGTAAACGATAATAATCTCCATTCATTCCAGTCGTCAGATTGTGGCGAATTCCTTCTACAACAATGCTTGCATTTGTAATTGCTGCTCCTCCGACTGCTTCTTTGACAAATCCATGAACTCCAATATGAACCTTGGTGCAAGGCAAAAACATGTAAATACATTATTTGGACAAATAAAAATCCAGCAATTGTCCTTTTCCGTGACATTAGATTGTACCTTTTCCATGTAGGCCAACAGGGATTCCTTGTTCATTGACCATTCATCTGGGAGTTCCTCAGCCTTGGGGTGCTTGCAGCAACTTAACTCCACCGTGATTTCCAGACAGTTTCCAAACAGATAATTGAAATCTTGCATCCCCCCTAGGTAAACCAAACAGTTAATAATTATAATTTCTACACTTTAAATTATCCTTAGGGCTTCCAGAAGATATTTATATATCATCATATTTATAACATTGTATGCAAGTACTTGTAATAATATACTCAAAGTAATATGCTTTTTGTATACGTTTTATAATCTGTGCCACGTATCATTTAATTAGGCCTTTTTGCCATTAGGTTGAGAAACATGCAGTTTTATTTTATTTATTTCTACTACGTCTTAAATAATGAATTTGTCAAAACCCCGCCCCTTTCATCTGTCATCTGACTCCACTTGGCTGAGCCCTGCCCTTCTCTGCATGATCTGTGCTGTTTCAGCTGCTTCTTCAGTTTCACAAAGTTGACAAAGAATGTTGATATTCATCTTTAAGCAACATGTGGGCCCAAACTCTCACAAAGATCACACAATTTAGTAACTCAGAAGTTACTCCACAACTCTGAGCAAGTTCAACCAGATTCAAGCAACATGCCGAGGGTGTCCCAAAAATCTATACAAACAATAGCCTTTATAATTTTGTGGTAAAAGATGACACGCAAAACACATTTTCAATTATAGGAAATAGTTTCTAACAGATCAGAGATGTTACCAACTTCTCTTTAACTCTTCTTTAACTCTACTTGAGTAGAGTTAAAGTCTGAAGCGGATTCAGGTGTTCAGAATGTCCACAAGAACACACACATGGAAAAAGCAACAAAGAGGGCTGTATCCCATCACTAAAGTCTAAGAAAATCTGTGCCACAAGTGTTCATTTCAGCAGGATGGGGTATTCTCAGGTTACACGGTTGCAGCATAAGATCCTCCATTGAAAAGGTCTGGCAAAACCGGTGGATTAGACGAATGGTTATTTTTAGGAATAACTAAATTCAACGTCAATGCTATGAAACTTGCAACAGTTGTTTAATTAAGAGCAGCCATTGAACTGACAAATGCACAAAAAGACCAAACACATCATTGTGGGATGTTCCATTGTTCACACTGGCAGCAGTGTCAAAACACAGTCATTGATAAAACAGTTTAATATTTTCTGTAGATTCTACAAAATTTTGAAAATAAAATGTATTTCATAAACACTTACTCGTAATTAGTGGTTATCTAGTGTGTGAGCTTTCATTAAGTGATTATCAACCAAAGTGTGAATAATGTTTTTGGACACTCTGTAGATTGAACTGTGTAGTTCAACATCCGTTTTGAAACAATGACACAACATCCTATCCATGCCGGAGTTAGAGCCACTCCTTCAGGAACTCTTGACCAAACATCTACAATGGAAGGCTACACACTGCTGCCTCGCCTCCGATTATTAAAACAAATACTAAAACAACTTATGTCCATCAAGACGTTCATCAAGGTTCTGATCACAGAACTTCCAAACAGTCTGGAATTCCACAACACTAAAGTCTTAAAACGCTGTTCACATGTAACAAATTATTGTTTTGTTTTTTTCTCCATGAACATGTTTCTAAAAGGACATTTCTGATCACAGAATGACGTCTCTTCTTTAAACAGACTTTACAAAAGATCAGTTTAGTAGTTATGATTTGATTATTTTCAAAAGGAATATACCTATTTTGACTTTTTACCTAAAAGACTGAACTCTTTAAAAAGGAACTAAACTTGGTGCCCTCAAACCGAGAACTTTTTTTTTTTCATGATTGGTTTTTCTCATTTGAACATCTTGATTATTTTTGTTTGAACCTTATTTGTTTATTCTGATTGGTTATTGTCATTATTATAACTATAATATATAACTATTAATGCTTCTCACATAAAACAAGAAAAGATTTACAAATACACAATACAATATTATTTTTCAAAAGTTCTTGTGATCATTCACCACAAGCTACTTCCATACATTTAGTTTATTTTTGTGTTTTTCCAGCTCCATTGCATAACTAAAGCCCTAACCCAATTGTTATTATTCATTAACTATGAATTAGTGTTACACATCTTATTGACTGAAGAAACCGTGGTCAGAGAAATGAACCATGTATGTACACAGTGTAAGGTAGACTTAGAAACACACAGGCTAACTTGATGACAAAGCTAGTGGTTTACTGCCTTAGGTTTGAATAAATAAAAACAATGCATGGCAGAGCCGACCGTACTATTGACGTCTTACCTGGCACGTCATACCAGTGGGCTCCGTTGGTGATGCCATCCTTAAACGTTTCATACGTAGCATCAGGACAGTTGGGGTGACCAGTTTTCATGACAGGGTGATTTGAGGCATAGACCAAGGCCAAGTAGCGAAACAAGCCATCATCTGCTGCTGCGCTGTAGTGGCCCCTGGACTGGTGAAAGGCCGAGTCATCGAATGGATAACTGGCAACTACTGTGCCGCCGTGGAGGTTTGCCGACAGCACAAATCTGAAGACAATAAGAGCACAGTTTATCACAGTTTGTCTGGAAAGTAGAGATTAGACCAGAGGCAACAGGGAGGAAGATACCAGATATACTATTCAAAATAAAATTTGTATTATAAATATCATGGACTTTGGATCATATTGAAGCTGTGAATGCAATGATGACTAGTATTGTTGTCTTAAATCTAATACAGGGTGTATCAAATTTAAAGTACACTAATCGCAATGTTATTTCTGCTGAGAAAGCTAAGTGAGTTTCCAGTTAAAAACAAAAACATAAACAAACACACCCTTTAAGAGTAATAATGCACAAAAGTCGGTATTTACAGTGGAAACGTTGTGGAGAGATGATTTTGAACCACGGGGTCATGTAAGGCCCCCTAAACATCTTGATCCAGCCCAATGGCCATCTCTCCAAATATCTATTTTTATCAGATGGGTCCAGGTCTAGGCTTTAATTGATAGTAGCATTGAAGCTGCAGGTACACAAACCTCCAAACTACAAATAAGGAAAGAAACGATATTTTTTTCCATTAAATCTATGTAACTGGTACCTTGCTCTAATAGAGATTGTATCTATCATAAATGTGTATTTGGCCGTCTTCAGACAGAAAAGTGAGGGGGGAAAGGCCTACCCTCAGCTAGTCAACTCTCTTGTCCAAAGCGTCGATCGGCTATTTCTAAAATGCTAAAGAGATGGAGCCAGCATGAGTTGGTCTGATATTTTACTTTCATGGGACTCTTTCTAATTGGATAAACAACATTGTACTATTTATGACAGAAAAAAGTGGGATGACTCAATATGTTAATACAAAATAGTTGTTGAACCTTAACTACCTCTCCAAGTTGAATAGTCCTGCTTTAGACCAACCTGGCTACTTTAATATGATGATAATGTAATAATGACCAGGCTTTAGATAGGGAAAAGATAATTACTCTATATTTACCATTTCAAAATGTTGTTAGGTTAGTACTCATTATTGATAACTTTAAAAATCACTAACTTCTTGTCCTGAATCCATCTCATCATAGCCATAACTTCAGGGATGTCCTCTGCTTTCACTTCTGTCTTGGCGAATTGATCAGGAAAATGTCTATTGAGATCAAAGTTTCTGGCGTTATTCCTTCCATCATGTTTTCCTTCGCAATCTCCTTCCACCGACTTCTCAAAACCATCAGGGTTCATGCTGGGAAGTATGTAGATGTCAGTAGTATTCAGCAGCTGAGTCACACGCGGATCCTCGCCATAGTTTTCCAAAAGGTATTCGATCAGATAGACCAACACCTGTCTCGACACAGTCTCGTCCCCGTGCATGTTCCCCACATACTTAAATTTAGGCAACCCCACTGTGTCCATATTGGGGTGCTTAGTTATGCGCATCACCCACAGCTCTCTGCCCTCCACAGACTGGCCTATGCTGGACAAATTTGTAATCAAAGGATATTTCTGTGATAAAGAATGAAGGAGGTCCGTCAGCTCAACATAATTGTAATATTTTCTATAAGTTTCTTCAAAGTCTGTGGCAGGGGGACCTCTTCGTACTGTGGAGTCAACACAAGAGACAAGAAGAAAGAGCAGAAAGCAAAGACATTTCGGCGCTGCTGTAGAAGCCAAGGAAACCTGCGCCATGATCACGTATCCGCTATCCGTGTATCATCCGAAAAGAATGATCCAAAGTTTGAAACGAGAAGAATGTTGTCCCTTGTTTGCTTCTCGGGGAGCAGGTTGTTGTTTAGCGTCAGGTCAGAGCGGCCTGTTTCCATCTACTTCCTGTTACCTCTGTTTGGGCGGGACTACGCGCTGACGTCACAGTTTAGCGCCTGCGTACTTAGCTTGAGTTGGGCACATGAATCCGTGATAACGGGTTGGGCAACAACAACAAAAGTTTCAAATCACAAAAAATAAATGTAATAAAATCCATCTAACTTGTACCCCCTTCATAAAACAGATTGGCTCTATCACTAGTTTTCACAAGCATGTATTGTTTGGCTTCTGTCATATTTTTAGATCATCTTTATGGAGACAGAAAAGTGAAGGTGAAGTGAAGTGAGGACCAGTCTCACTCACAGGGCTTAGACAACATATTATGCAGTATTTTTGACCCAAAAAAATATATATAAAGAGACCATTTTGACTACATTTTCCTTTCCTTTTCAAGTATGAAGCGTGGATCTGGTATGAACTGTGAAATTTGTTTTGCTATTTTACCGTCCTACCACCAGAGGAAGAAGTTTAATATTGTTACAATTTTTTTTGCAAGATTGTAAAGAACTTTATTTTATTTACTTATAATTTATGGACACTTCTTTTGTTTTAAAAGGCAGGAAATGATTTTGTGCGTGATGTAATAATGGTGCTACAGTGACATCACACATAACTGAGCTTTTTGGTAGAAGGGCCAGAGTTAGATCTTTGACAGAAGTTTCTGATATTTGTATAATGATGTATAATATAAACACAAAGTTGTAACGTTTTTAAACGTTCAAAATAGTCGAGTTTGCATAATCCTTTTAAACAATATGCGGTGGTCTAACTTAATTGTTCATACTTGTACTTATACAAGGTGAAGAAAATCAGTGAAAAAAAGTAGATACACAGTTTTAGATTAGATTATTGTGCTTCATAATCTTGTAGACTTTTCTTTCTTCTACTTTTTTATGTATGATTAGAAATATTTGGTTACTAAGATCTACTTGAGAAGTTACTTTTCATAACATTGTTGTACCCTTCGTTGTATTGATTAATTACTGATTACACAGTAACTTTAATGGAACCCCAAGATAAAACTCTTTTAACCAATAAGTTGTCATTTATTTCAATTCGTCATAGAAACAAACTTTGTTACAAAGTTAAGCCCCAAACAGCAGCAGCCTTGGAGCTCAAAAATGAAGAAATAGGATGGAGAGGAGGGAAAAGGAGACAAGATACAAGGGAGGGAGGAAGGCTTTAGGGCTCATTGCTGAATCCGACGCAGCGACTGCACTTGGAATGTTTGTGCATGAGAGCCCCACTCTCTGTAATGTTTGTACTCTCCACCATGATGGTCGCACTCCATGATGTACTGGTAACCACGGTAACCAGGATACTGATAACACACCCAGCTAAACAAAGGCACATATAGTAAGTACAGTCTTTGGACATTAATCTACTGTAGGTGGAAGAACAAGATAACTTACGCTCCGCTCTTAACTTGCATTGAGCCAATCTCATTGTTGCCCCAGCCCATTGCCTGCAGAGAGGGGTAGTCATCACTTATGTCCCATTGGCGTCCCATGAAGTTTTCCTTCTCGAACAGCACAATCTTTGACTCTTTGTGGGACTGAAAGTACAACAGCATCATTTGATACATGGCCTGATAATGGGTTTTGTACAGTATACATGGGGCGACAGTAGCTCAGTTGGTAGAGCATTGGCCTTTGGGCCTGAAGGTTGTGGGTTCAAGCCCACCATAAGACCTACTTCACGACTCCCACTGATGGCTGCTGTCGTCCTTGGGCAAGACACTTAACCCCACTTTGCCTGAAGCTCCCACTGAAAGATCTCAGCTCCTGTGGACTCACCACCTGCAGGAGGATCAGTGAGGGGCTGGTGCTCTGTGACTGGGTGCAGCTCTGACTGCCACCCCCCCGCCCCAGAAATTGATTAAGGGGAAGAAAATGGATGGATGGATGGACATTAGGAGCTTGCTAACACATGCAGGCATGCTGCCTGCATGTGTGGATTTTAAAGATTCTACATAAAAAAAGATATTAATATATATAGATATATATATATATCTATATATATATAGAAAATTACTCGATACATTGGCTATTATATCAGCTTGTACTCAAACAGGAGAAAATGCTGCAGACTCACAGCAGAACAGATGGGGCGGAAGGACATCAACCTCTCGATGTGATAAGCGTTGCTGCCACTCCATGACTCCCAGTGCGGATACTCTCCTCTCTCCAAAACAAACTGCTGTCCACAGAAGCTAGAGTGTTCAAATCCTGCCCAGCTGTGCTCGTAAAGACACACAAATACATTGAGAATGATATATCATCATTTAGGATGTCCACTGACTGCTTATCCTAACTTACCTTCCACACTCCACCTTCAAGGAACGGATATTGTCCACGCCAGAATCCATAATGTTCTGACAAGCAGAGGTAAACTCCACACGTTTCCCTTGGAAGTTCTCCTGGTCATAGACCGTGATCTGCAGAGGACACAAATGCACACATGTAGCATAGACATGCCACACACGCACACTGAGGTGTGCACAGACAGTATTGTCATCAGGGCAGGCACATTACCAAACACCATAGATCTGACATTACACTTCAGGCTCACCTTCCATGGTCCCATTGGTTTGGGATTATTCAGAGTCATTCTCCTACAGTTTCCCCTTCACTGCACACAGTACAAATTTCACCGGGTCAAAATTATATAATATTCTCTGGAATGCCTTTGATTTTTCCTAGCATTAACTTAATGATGCATGTGCAGTATGTTATGTGTAAACAAGCACAGAACTGAGGCAGAACCTTACCTGACTAACCTCAAAGTATAGCAGAATAGTACTCAAAGGGGTTCCCACAAACGTTGTCCTAGCAGTAGTTTATCCCAACTTATTTATACATGCTGCTGGTGAAAGCTGTCAGCATATGGGGCTGGGCAAGAGTCAGCACATTATTGTTTCATTCATTGTTCGACACTGAGCTTCTGGCTTTAGTTTGCAACGCCTCAGTCCATTGGAGGGCAGAGTGCCCAGTGCCGACCAGCAAACACTTAACAGCATGCAGTACCACGTAATACTGTTTGTGGACGTGTTTTTCATTCCTTGTTGAGTTATGAAATAATGTACTGTAAGATCCATCACAGTACTCACTCAGCCTGCTCCTCCGTCTTGTCTCTACAGCCCATAGTTCCATGTTTCTCTCTTCTGTTACTGCTGTGACCATGCTCAGTCATGCATATACTGCACATGCATGGGGACACAAAAGACTATTGTTTTTTGAGTCACTTCAACGCTATGAATGAGAGGTGCACTCATAATCACAAAGAGATCATGCAGAACATGCAAAATAAATGTACTTATTCTTGAACTTATTCTTTCAATCATAGCTCCAGAGTTTTGTTATATTACTATTTTAATATTCTATTTTCTTAGATAATAATCCTGTTTGATCTGTGTGCTCCTTTTTCTTCACATTTTATTCTGCTGCAATGTTCCCCTCTGGGGGATGAATACACGTTATCTTATATTATCTTGTCTTATCTTAGAAGAAGAGCAGGACCTCTCCTCATTGTGGCTCTCCTTGTTTGGGCGGGCAACTTCTGAGCCGGCATTTCATAGGTGTCTTTGTCACTCATCATGGTATGTGGTAGGCAATAGCTTGAAGGATGTCAAAACAAAGATAATCAGCATGTACTTTTTTGTCATTTCACAACCACAAATAAAAATAGTTAATTTTAAACTGAAAGACTACAATGAGTAAACCATTGTAAAGTGAAGTGTGAAGGCCAACTCTGGAGAAGCACTGAACTTGCCCCTGGTATTCTGTACCTGGGACAAATTATTTATATTTCACTGCAAAAATCTTGACTTTATTGACAACTCGTAAAATCGAATTCCAGTGCTGTTGCTGTGGAAGAAGGTGCTGTGATCTGAGACCAACATTTAGCTATTTGGCCCAAATGCAAAATACGATGTATCTCAAAACTGACACTGCTCATTGGCCTCAGTGCACCATCCCCGGTATCAATTACGGGAATGGCAGCATCATGTTATGGGGCTGCTTTTCTTTAGCAGGGGCAGGAAAGAGGATTTGGAAACCATGTCAGAAAAACACCTGAGCCTGCTCTCATCAGGGCTATTTCCGTTAACGTAAAGATGTTTCTAACAATATAATGGTTTAAAACAAATAATAGTTATGTGTTTGAATGGCTCAGTCAAAATCCAAGTGAAAATCTGTGAAAACTGCTGTTTACTAATGCTCTCCATCAATCTGACTGAGCTTGAGTTGTTTTGTAAGGATGAATGGCAAGCTCGTGGAGTCATATCCCCATAAAGAGGATTCCATAAAGAAACTGCTGCTGTATGGTCACTTATCCTGCCCCTCTTTTCATTCTTTGATAAACAAATAAAAAATCATGCATGATTTCGTCTTTACTTTAACAGTTGTCTGTGACTTTGTTGTGGTCTTTCAGTAGAAAATCCAAACTAAAACATTTGTTTGGCTGTGACACAATAACACAGGAAGAGTTAAAGCGTTTTTAAAAAATACATATACATTTTCATAATGGCTAAATGCAACTTGTACGGGATACAAAAAACAGTGCTTTCTGATCTTGCGTATTATTTGAAAATCCAGCAAACAAAACTCTGTGATGTAATTAGTATTCTGGACCAAAAGGAAATCAAAATAACTCATTGACACCTAATCTTTACTTTTATCGCAGTACAGTAATACAGTATATAATACTGTACATTATCATTTAGAGTAACTAAAGTTCACTGTGTATGAATCAACGGAGTGATCAATTGTCAGACACATTTTTGCTGATGATGGCGACTATTCCCATTCACAGTGCGGCGAGAGAACAAAACATGTGGCTCAGTCAGCACAAGTCCACGGATTAGTCACATGATCTTTGACCCTGCACCATGCGCCAAAAGGCCTCCACCAATGAGAAGAGTGAAGTGTGTTTCTATAAAATCATGATGGATGTGAATGTATATATATATGTCCCCCCTGACAACGCCTGTGTCCGCCACCTACTCCATTTGACCTGCACCTCGTAAGTCATCTCTTATTGTTATTTTAGAACAACTTAATAAGAGAACAGCTGCCTTGGGATATTTGATTGAATAAGACTTTTTATTTTGCTTCATACACTCTGTGTGACATGATTAGCATTATGAGTGCCTGCGTCAAGTAAGGTAGCTTATTTACTGTGCTTGGTTCCAAAAGTGATGGCATTATAATTCATAATGTATTACATAAAGTTGTTGTCAAGATAGCTTTGAAGATTGAATCATATCAAAACAGCACTTCAATGTGTCATGTGGAGTTTAAAGTTTTAGTGTGTGTGTGTGTGTGTGTGTGAATGGTTGGTGGTGATCGGAGGGGCCGATGGCACATTCTGACTGCCTCGCTTCTGTCAGTGTGCCCCAGGGCAGCTGTGGCTAGTAGTTTATCACCACCGTGTTTGGAGTGAATGAATAATGACATGTAAAGCTTCTTTGAGTGTCCAAAAAAGCGCTATATAAAACCAATGCATTGTTATTATTATTATTATTATTATTATTATTATTATTAAAGATACATTTTCTGTTTGTTTGTTTTTTGTAGATCTCACAATGTCTCATTCCGGGGCTCAAGGCAGCATTGGCAGCCATCCAGGCATGGGTATGCGTAACTATAAAGTGAGTAGCCGTTTCATTTTGGTAACTAAATAAAAACATATCATTTCCAGATAATAGACCTCTGTGAATGAATTTCAGATCTACTTCTATGAGTTCGAGAACTTCCAGGGTCGCAGGATGGACATTCACGGGGAGTGCAAAAACCTGTGTGAGAAGGGAATGGACCGTGTGGGATCCATCAGGGTGGAATGTGGCCCGTAAGTCTTTTCTTCTATTATACACATTAACTGAGGGAGTGGTACTACATGTCCTCATCACTTCCAAATATAGGGTGTAAAACAATAATAAACAAAAATATAAAAAAATATAAATATAAAAAGATCTAAATATAAAAAAACTAAACAATACTTTCTTTTGTATTATGAAAGAATATTAAGATGAAGATGAAGAGATCCTTAATTTGTTCCACGGTGGGGAAATGTCAGTGTTGCATCACAATTTACAGAATGGGGAGCACATAGCACTAGATAAATGAGTAATATCTCTATACTATTTTAAAATCTCTAACTGTAGCATAAAAAGAAGAAATTCCTATCTTTAGCATATTAAGAAAAAAAGAAATCTCCAACAAGAATGATGTACAAAAAACTCTGAAAACAGTGTCATTATTACTGTAGGGGCAGTAAATAACCCTAATAATAAATTATAACTAAATAGAGGCCTTTACTTATTTTCAGCTGGGTTGGGTATGAACAGCAGAACATGAACGGTGAGATGTTCATTCTGGAGAAGGGAGAATACCCGCGCTGGGACACCTGGTCCAACAGCCACAGGTGTGACCGCTTCATGTCCGTCAGGCCGATGCGTATGGTGAGTCAAAAATAAAGGTTTGTCTTTTCAGAGATGTAAATACTAACTCATGTTGCCCTTCAGGATCCCCAAGACCACAAAATCTGCCTGTTTGAGTGTCCAAACTTTGAGGGCCGTAAGATGGAAGTGTGTGACGAGGACATCCCAAGTCTGTGGTCATATGGTTTCCAGGACAGAGTGGCCAGCATTCAAGTCACAGGCGGAACGTAAGTATTCAGAAGCTGCAACAGCACAAAACATCACAGACATTACATTTTTTATTTATATTTATATTGTTATGAGACTCATGTCTATGTACCTTATACCTTTTGTGAAAGTTTTGCTTATGATCTAGTTTTTAATCCAGATAATGAAAAATTGTTCTAGTTTGAAAGTTTTGTATCCACTAAATCATAGAATACAGAAGTGGAAATATATTCATCTGATCCTACAGTCAGGCTGGATCTGTGTCAGCTGTAGACCTGACTTTCATTCAATATTTGTGTGTATGTTTTACGCCTTAAAGCAGAATTTAGAGATGAAACTTGGAAATTCTACGGTATTTTGAGTTAAAATAATCAGGGGAAGTGAATGACATTTTTATGAAGTTTAGAATTGAGTAAAGTTATATTTAACGATTGTCTTTGAAATTATTATTAATAATATTAATATATGAGAGTAAGTACATTTAAAAATGATAAAGGATTGTCTTACATCTTGTGGTTATTCTCCCAAATGTTTATCTTTGGACAAAAGCTTTTGTAATTTTTATTGAATTTTACACATTTAAGGAATTAGAAAGCATCACAAAGTCACTCAAATTGAACATGAATTGTATCTATCAGTTGAAAAACAGTGAATCTTCCCTCACAACACAATTGACCAAATACTTCTGTCCTATAGCTGGGTGGGATACCAGTACCCAGGATACCGTGGGTACCAGTATGTGTTCGAGATGGGACCATACAAGCACTGGAATGAGTGGGGAGCTCACCATCCTCAGATCCAGTCCATCCGCAGGGTGAGGGATATGCAGACGCACCGCAGAGGCTGCTTCGAGATGACTGCTTAGAAGAAACCTGGACAGTGTGCCCCACTTTGGAAGTTTCTAACCGAGGTTCTGACAGTGACAGATTGTGACCATGAACTGCCAATCAAAACATCTGTCTGCACCTATAATAGCTATATTCATTCTATATTTATAAAAAATAATTATAGATTTAGTTAATCATTGCATTTTGTTTCTATTTACAGCCCAATGGTTTATTTTATTCATTTATTTTATAGCTTCTGTATTTGTACTGATGCCTAAGCCTGTTTACAACTTGTAAACTCAGCTCCCTCATAGGGCAGTCTTCACTACCATGGACAGCACTAGTCTGCGCACGCGTTGTTGTACATCTAACAGCAGGAGGCGCTGTCTTCTTTGTGTGGCAGTACAAGTTGTTTTGTAAATAGCGTTCGCTGCACACTGAGCACTAAGCGATCACATGACTCTCTTTCTTCAACAGTTTCAGCTCATTAATGGGACTACTGTCTATTTAATGTGCAACACTTTCTCAGGGATGCTGGCATCTAAAGCAAATTCTTGAATAAAACTATTAAGCTGTTATCTGTCTTTTGTCCGAGTTATTTGTCCTTGATGTGTTGCGTGTTTGACAGTGTCAGCCTGTATGTGTTGGATCATCAACCTTTGTGGACATAATTGAAATCCTTTTCACATAGTGCACCTACCTTTAACAATCTAACTATTCTAAGATGTTGTGTAACATGTGAATATATTATTAAAACTGGTGTGAAACATGTGATATATCTAAATCTCAGCTGTGTGAAACATGTGTTGGCTTATATATTTCTATTTTCACTGGAATAGCGTAGGCCTATAATAAAGTGTACGGAGCAGATCTGCTCTTGTGCGCGTGATGACGACAGGCGCAGACTGTGCGCCACGCACTGGTGCCCGCTCCAAAGCCCTGGGATTTGGATTAAATAGCTTGTGAGATGAGCCTTGGGTAAGGGGGAGGGAGCTAAGGGCTGATTTTGATCTTTTACCGGCCCGAGACACCGAGCAGGTTCGGGGAATGTCTTGTTCTTATGGTGGAACGGAGTAGCCTGTTAGCCGGACCGCGTTAGCCCAAACCAAGCCAAAGCCTCCGCACGTCCACTGGCTCTTGCGCTTCGGGACGCAGAGCAAAGGGTTGGCAGCACTTTTTACAGCTTCACACAGGTGCAAGAGCCCTCCTCACTGGACATGAAAGTGCAGCAAGGCTGTAACTCGACAGATATGGGGATCCCTGTAAGAACCGAGGAGGAGCTGCGCAGAAACGCTGTCATAACACCGGAAGATGTGCTGGGCTTGCAAAAGATCACTAAGAGTAAGTATCGTTTGGCTCTGTGCTGTCAATGTGGGTATGACTGCTTTCAGCTGGGACCTGTCTGTCCCAGGGCACCTCGAGGCGTTTGGCCCTGGCCCGTGGGCTAGGCTTTATTTTGGTGGTGGTACCATGGACAGCGACGCAGCCTTTGATCTGCAGAGCCACTTCTTGGCATGAGTTTAGGAAGATGTGGCAATAATGTTGCGACCTCAATGTTTTTTTTTTTGTTTTTTTTTTTATGTTTTACATTCTATCTAACTCACCTGTGGAAAGCAAACAATGGACTACCAACCAATCACATGCAAATACACTTGAGATAGTTTAACATCAATCTGACCGTCCTTATTTTGTTCCGTCTGAGTTTTCCAAATATAACCTATACAGACACAAGTACATTGTACATTTGCTCTTGGTTAAAAGTAACGGCGTGATAATGCCTAAATCAGTCCTGTTGGTCCAGTAATCTTCGCTCTGTGCTGACATGTAATCTGGGATTATGTAGGGATGCCTACAACTGAGTACACCTCACCCCAGGTAATTAATGATCCAAGTGTGCTAAAGTAAATGGAAAAGTCAGAACAAGCTGGAAAATAACAGTCAAGATGATGCTGTAGTGTGCAGGACCTTTTTCTGGTTAGAGCGCTCATTCAGAGCTGATTTGTTCATATTGCCATTCAATAGAAATCTAATATTGTCCTCCAGGGTTGATATAACATGATTCATGACTGGATTTATAGGATGTCACAATCCAACACTATGTTCTGAGCTATGCTATGGAGAGCAATGGAGTTTTGATCCAAACACTTTAACATTAACATGAATGCTAAAGCTTTTGAATTATCTATTGCACTGATATTTTTGCCTTTTAACAGTGACAATAAAAGGTTCCAAATAAACACCTAAATACAGCTTTATTTATCAAAAAGCAGTTGTGCTTTTTTTTTTAACTGAAGGCAGTCCTTTAGTACCACTGTTTTGTAATTATGAATTATGAATTATTAAGTTTGCTCGTTCATTTTTTGTATTTTTTGTCTTCAAAGATTGAGCAAACAAAAGTGGTTCTGTGAGACAGAAATGTCCAAAGTCCAGCTCACGGGCCAATCACAGTCCTTTATGTGGCCCTCTGCCATGCTAATCCAAGGTAGTAGTAGTTCAGAATGTAATCCAGCAAACTTCAGCTCCACCAATGTGAGAACGCTATACCTTGCTTAAAAGCTCAGAACATTTGTTTTTGATTGAGTCATCAATGCGCTAACCTAGATAGTGAGAAAAGGCTGTCATTCTTCCAACGTGAAAGATGTCATACAAGTCTGGTAAAAGGCTGGACATCCCGGGTCTGAGCCATGTACATATACTCTGGTTTTGTTTTTTACATAATATATTTTTGCTCTTGAAATCATATGTAACTTAGGTACATGTTGCTACTTTCCAGTTGTGAGTGGCTTTACTATACTCTAAAATTTCACCATTTTTTTGGGTTGTCATAACTGGTAGTTATGTGTCTGATCAATCTATAAATGGTTCTCTCCCAATCTATTTTGACCAAAATTGTGGTAAAAGGTTCTAAATAAATAAATATTGCTTATTACATACTTACTAAAATCTATTTGGCCGACAACCACCAACCTTTTCTGCCATCGCTATAGCAACAGGGTCATTTATTTTTGGATCAAGATTTCAAAGCAGAATTGTGTGAATAATGTTCAGAAAAAGATCAGAAACATTCATTCTTTGTCCCACAATCCTAGTGTTTTGGTTTTGTTTTTGTTTTTTCAAATTCGGCTGGTTTTGGGCTGGGATTTAACAATGGATTCAATTATGATGTAAATAACAGCACTACTTAAAATCATTAGCCAGAATTCAGAAAAACATGGATATATATATCCATATTTATGAGTTGAATGTGCGTGTAGGGCTTCAATCTAAACGGATATTTGCAGCTTGTTGCACCCGGGCCTAAAAATGTGATCTGATGTTAGTAGTATTCTTTATTTCAGCAATAGTTGCAGACTTAGTCAATTTTCTAATAATCATACCCTTTTATTTACTGCTTTGATGACACATTTATTATTACTCAATTTTTTTACTTTAAACAATCCTATCTTCATTCTTAGTTGCATATCTAAGATGTGGAACTGCTGCCTGACGAGCCAAGCCTGTCTCCTTTTGGATATAGACATTAAAACGTGAGAATAATGAATAATTAATGTAAAATTGTGTGGCTCTGGTTGGTCAAGTAAAGTGGTCTGTTATAATGCGTGCGATTAATGAAGACGTGTGGAGTGTTTACCTTTGGCTGAACCGCACTCAGAGCCAGTTCGCCTACAGGAGCTGCTGTCTCTCAGACATGAAACAGCCTGTCAGACACAGGTGCACCGTACATCATCAATGTTAATGTCACTTACGGCCTCCGGCTAAAGGTTTCTGAGGTGAAGACAGGGCACCATGGTGGTAGACTGAACCATGCTGCACCACTCATTTAGTGTCAGCAGTAACATGTAAAGTCAGTAGTTGAGCAGAGTCTCTCCCTCTGGGGTAATCTTATTGGGATTAGGGTTCTAAAAATGGCTGCCTCCTTTCTCTGTTTAAATGCCTGTTTGCCTCCAGACAGACCCATTTGAACCAGTGTTTCTGCTACATTTACCCTCTGCTAAAGATCACATTTGCTCTTTAGTGGTCCATTAGAATCTTACGATAAGAATAATTATGATGTTAATGGACATGATTGTTATTTCTGATATAACACATGAATATAGATACTGTAACACAGGCCTTTTGTGATCCAGTGCAAAATGTGTAAAAGCAGACATCATATGATACATGAGAAAGGGATTTAAGATGTGTGTATCATATAATGTTGTTAGATTTATTTTATATTCTGTGTTCAGATGTTGATGGTTATGTAGAGACAACATTGTTCTCTCCTGAAAAACAGAGCTGGAGTTGTAGTTGGATACATTTACACGTTTATCAGGATCTTCTGGCACAAACATGTAACTGTGGGCCTTCTGTCTAAAAGCTCCTGTCTCAGTCCTGTAACACTATGATGTAATTGTACCACTATGACATCCTGCTCAGAGCATTTTTCTACCGTTTAAAACAAAAGTTTTTTCGCAAGTTAAATGACATTCTTTATAATCACATGGTTGTGTTTGCAGCCTCTAAATTTCCAATTTTGAAAGAAACTTAACATATTAAGGCAGGCTAATGGCATTATTTACCTTTGATACTTCTTTCACTCTATATTCATAATATATATTGTCACATTTTAAAACATAAAATTAAGGAGTAAGTAGTCTCCATAACATCTTGTATTCTTTAAATCACAGGTCTGTAACTAACCAGTCGTCCCCAGTAGCTCCAAGTAGTTAACTTCCATGGATTTAGAAATGACAAATAATCTGATTAGATTATATGCATACAAGTGATGTGAGGCAGCTCACCATTGTATGTCATCCAGAAAAAGGTTGGAGATCTCTGCTTTAAAAGAAAGTTCCTTCTGAGCCTTGAACGGCCTTTATATTCCTGGATACAGACTTCTGCTTTAGTGAATAGCAGAGAAAGACATGTACTTTGTCTGGTTAACAATTGCATTTTTAACATAGAGCTCACCGCCATAAAGGTAACGGCTTTGTATTACTTGGAATAATTATTTAAAGAATACAATGCTCAATTGATCAGGCTTGATTGTTGACCTTTGGTTTTAAAAATACACTTTGCCCATTCTTGTTATGTATAGTAACCTCAGTGACAACATCTATAAATATCCACAAGCAGGTGGCCAAAGTCCATCCATCTGTTCTCTCGCTCTAAGAAACACGTGCAGCTTTACACTAATAATAAACAGATGTTTGTTTGGTTGTTTTTGTTGCTACGTCACAGTCTGGTATTACAAAGGCATCTCATATATTTATAACAAATTGTGCTAATTATAAGTGCACTAAGCACAAGCCCAAAAATACAGGAGAGTAATGTGTGCGCGTTCATTTCCGAACCAGCCAATCCATGTGATGGTGCAGCACAATAAGCCTCTTAGATCTAATCCTGGGCCATTGGAAGGGAAGTGTTTCACATGCACACGCACAGCTCTGTGTGTGCGAGCGGTTCATCTGGTCAAGTTTTAAGCTTCAGTGATGACTAAATATGTCTTCTGTAAGAATAGTGTGAGCATCACCAGCAAGTAAGATTTATGTGTTTGGATTGTTAAAGTGCGTTGCGCATTAGTTCTGGTTGGGGACGAGATAAGCTCTGTGGTTGTCTCTATGGAGGAGATAACGATTTGTTTGGAATTCCCCAGAGTACGGCTTCGGGCTCTCCATAGAGACCGGACCAATTACAGGTCCGGTATGTGGAGAGAGGCCTGTGACTCAGAGTATATGTTTTGTATGTAAGATTTATTATGAACAATAAAGTAGCATGTTATACTCCAGACAAAACATGAAATGACATCTTGATGGAGGCAAACTATACAACCAATATCAACTTAGTCAACTGATTTAAGGATTTAAGTGAGGAATCCAAATAAATGAAACTAAAAGATGTCTGGTGATCTGCATTCATAACAAACATCCTCCAAGATTTAAAAAAACATATTGTTCAATCCTTTTAAGGCAAGTAAACAAGAAAGATAAAACATCTGAACTAAAACCACTTTTATTAGGAAGGTAAATTACTGAGGTTTATTCAGCAAAAATTCTACTTTCTAAATATCTTGCTCTTCTATTTCCTTCAGATTACCTCTGCTCCCCTGAAGAAAATGTACACATGATTGACTTCACCAGGTTTAAGATCCGGGACATGGAGACTGGGACTGTCCTGTTTGAGATTACCAAACCCCCAACACCAGGTAACTATTGTCAGTGTGGAGAACTCTTAACTGAGGTTCCATGGTGAGCAAAACTATAGCACAACATGTACACAACAATATTTACATGCTGCGTTGTTATTAGCAGGGGGAAGGAAGCAGAGTGACCCGAACGCAGGCCGATTTGTGCGCTACCAGTTTACCCCGGCCTTTTTACAGCTGCGGCAAGTCGGAGCAACGTAAGTCCAGTTTGTCTATTCATATAATATTTACTGTTTGTTTGAATGGGGCAGTGTGTATTGTCAGGGCTAGATTTCATCCATATTCCCAGAATACACCTGGAGTAAACCTACACAACATACTCCACTCAGAAAGGTCCTATTCCTGCCAGGAGTTGAACCCAGGAGCTTCCCTGAGAGACGGCAGCTCTAACCACTGCGTCATCTTGTCACCCTTACATACAATATATATTTATAAAGCCATTTTTTGGACCTCCCAAAGATGAGGAGGAAGATAACTTTAGGAGTAAGTAAGACAGGACTGATGGTGTGTGTTTAACCCATAGACTGTATATAGTTTAACCCCAGAGTCAGTGATGGGAAGTTTCTCTCAGTCTACTTAGTTTATATTAGTACATGTTGTATGTGTAGAAAGTAGGGTTCTCATTCTGCATTTGACATAGAAATACAGTATGTGCCAAACTACTCCAATGTTGGTTTGTTTACTTGTTTGAATCCTCACATTTCTGTCTGTTAAGAATGAATGCATGTACTTTGCGTTTGAATCTATTTATACCATTGATGAAGCGGTTTTGTTTATTACAGAAAAACACCACTAAAACAGGGCATTCATTCATTATTTGTTTTTCTCGCAGAGTGGAATTCACAGTTGGAGACGCACCCATTAACAACTTCCGTATGATTGAAAGGCACTATTTCCGCGATCAGCTGCTCAAGAGCTTTGACTTTGAGTTTGGCTTCTGCATGCCCAGCAGCAAAAACACATGCGAGCACATTTACGAGTTTCCAGCACTTTCAGAGGATATTAGTAAGTCTTGAATCACATTTTTTATCAACATCAAACTGAAAATAGATGCTAAGTATTGTGTCTTGTCTTCTGAAGTGCGTGAGATGATCCTGCACCCGTACGAGACGCAGTCCGACAGCTTCTACTTCGTGGACAACAAGCTGGTGATGCACAACAAGGCAGATTACTCCTACAGCGGGGGCCCGTAGGATATACTGTGTACATTCACTGGTTTCTGCATTCCAGACCCATGTAAGGACAACGAAGAGATAACATGAGAAAACATTTATTTTTGCTCAGCTGCCTGGCCCACAAATCTGTCCGTCCCTCTGCCTCACTGTCTTTGCAGGAACACTGAATTCTGCCATCATCAGTGCGTGTATGGCACTGAGTGGGCAGCAAACACATGTCCTGTCTGTCCTTATAGTCGAGCCCAGTGAGTTGGAATAGGCATGTAACAAATTACTTTCATTTTGTTCTTGTGCAGAATTTGCAGGGAGCAGAGAAAAAAAACAAAAATGCAAACAGTCTGTTTAAAAAAATAATGAAAGCACAAATTGCTGTTAATTCAAGTGGGATGTACTGAGTATTTTAACAGAATAATCAAAGCATTTCATATACAGATGTTGTACTTCTGATTTTTGTTACATACGCATCAACCAGTATGTTCAGTTAAACTCCTGTGTCTGTGTGAATCTTTATAGTATAAATAAATCAGATGTATTTTTCAATAAATAGACATTTTTTAGTGTTGACATACATTAACCAGCTCAGTTTTGATATGTAATATAATGTACTCTGTAGTACTGGACACTGTGCATACTTTACCAATAAATGTTTCATGTAAAAAAAAATTACAATAATAAAAATGGAAAGTTTTGATCTCCATCAATGCAATAAACAAGGGATTTTTTTCAAAAATGTCAAACTTCTTTTCATTAAGAACATAGATTTTCAGAAAGATCATTAGACCATAATGACTAATGCCCTGTTTGTGAAAAAATAAGCGTATACTGTGTTTACTGCCATCTTCTGTTGCAGTCATGCTATTACAGGTAGAATACATTCAAACTTATCCTGTGCTCTACTTTATAGAAATGTCAGTGTTTGCGTTTCTTATTACAATGTAATGTAGAATTTGAATAGCACATACTGGACTTGTAGATACGAGTTTGAAGTGAGGTTGAAAACCAGTAATTACAGAAATAATCAGATGTTTTTGAAAGAATGACTGGACAGGCTTGTTTACTGTGTTTGATCGACCACAACAGCTGCATTAAACATTATTAAACATTATAAAACATTATTAAACATTATTAAAATTATTAAACAATAATAAACAATATTAAACACGATGCACATGGAAAAGGGGCTGAACACTGTGAGGTTCAGGTCGTTCATGAGCTCAGACAGCCAGTGAAAGTCTCCATTCCAGAGTAGACTCCGGGCAGATAGTTGTGGTCCTGTCCCCACAGCCTCTCTGTGTCCACATGAAGGCTCTTGTCTGGACCAGTCATTCGCTCGGAGGAGAGGGAGGCATTCGGATGCAGGTAACCGCTCTGCTCAACAGAAACAGTCTCCACCATAGAGGGGCTCAAAGAGGGGATGACTCGGGCACTGTCTTCTTTTAACTCCTCCCATAAGGTTCCTTTACACAAAAGACAAAAACATGTAAATTACATTGATGAAAGCATAAAATCTTTTCATGGTTTTCATGCTTTTTGTTGAGAATGGCTGCTCATATTTCACTTAGAATGACTTATTAGTAATTTGAAAATAACGATTTTATAAGCAGGGGTACCAACTTTCAAAATACAAAATATGAAATAACAAAAAGTCCGGGTGCCTCTGATCAGAAGAGCCCCGATTTCTAACGACTTTTGAGCACTCCTCGCCTCTCCTTCTAATCAATGGCTAAACTGTTTTTGTTTATTGATTTCAAGGTGACAATTGGTTTGTGTCCTTGTCTGGTGCACACTGAGATACTTACATCATTCCAAAGGTGTTTTACTGCAAGAGGCAAATAAACTGAATCTGAGAGTATGGTCCCACCTTGCAGCTGCAGGTCTGTCAGACTGGGATTCAGGGCGTCGATGTCACTGTTACTATCTCCGTCCGAGAACAAATCGTGCGCGCTCCTTCGACTGTGTGCATCGTGGGCAGGAGACCTCTTCTGGATCCCTGGAGAGCTGGTGCAGCGGGGGGTGAATGCATGCTGGTTATAGGGAGGGAACAGAGGCCGGGGGAGAGTTGGATAAGGGGCAGACTGGGAGAGGTTGAAGGACTTATGGTAATGTGGTGAGGAGTAACATGGAGGATGCTTGGAGCTAAAGCCTGAAGCACTGGAGTACATGTAGGCCCGAGAAGGAGCCAACGATCTGAATGCATTGGTTTTCACTCCAAGCAGGTGATCCAGACCTTCTGCCAAGCACAAACACAAACACTTATATTAGTAAATCATATACTGTATGCACAACTATATATGACTTGCACTCTAAAGATAAGATAAGATAAGATAAACTTTATTGATCTCACACTGGAGAAATGTACATGTCACAGTTAAAAGTATAGTCTGTGCAGGATATAATTATGTACAATAGAAAAGGAGTGGCAATAGCAGTGCAGTGCTTTTCAGTCCTAGTGCATTAATGACTTAAAGTGACTATATACAGCATTTTATACTTGCTCCTTACTACGCTTAAGTCAAAAAGCTAAAGTTGGAGTTTTAGTGATGTTTTTTTGGGCGGCACGGTGGCTGAGTGGATAGCACTCCCACCTCTCAGCAAGAAGGTCCTGGGTTCGATCCCTGGTTGGACTAGGGCCTTTCTGAGTGGAGTTTGCATGTTCTCGCTGTGTCTGTGTAGGTTTCCTCCAGTTTCCCCTACCACTAAAAACATGCACAATAGGTCTGGCATGTGCCTCCTGTACTGGCAACCCAACTCCCATCGCTGTGTGCAGTGAGAGGACAAGTGCCCAAAAAATAACAATTGTAAACCGCTTTTTGACTCTCGTCTGTGAAAAAGGTATATAAATAAAGATTACTTACTTACTTTTATGCTACTACTTTTATGAGTTAGAGGATTTATTATATTTTGTTTTAGTATAGAGTTATAATTCATTTATCTTGTTCTGTGTGCTCCTCAGTCCTACTGCTCTGTAACTTGGCATGCAACAATAAAAAAAAAGAATCTCTTAATCTTGATCTTAATCGTAAATTGTCACCAGAAGCTATAGTCTGGCGTCACCTGGTTTGGACATGCTTCTGCGCACTCTCCCCAGGTCTTTGCGTCGCCACTTGTGAAGCTCCTCTTGCATTTTGTCCACTTTAGACGGATTAAGGGCCCACAGACAACCTTTTCGAGACGAGTTTCCTTTTTTGTTTTCCACCTTCTCAAAGCACTTGTTCAGGGAAAGGTTGTGCCGCACCGAGTTCTTCCAACCATCAGGAGCTGTCTGCAAAATAAGAGATCCTTTAGATTCATTTCATTATTTTAGGTTCCAGGCCACTACTACTTTTCTCATGATTCTCTTGTGCCTGCAGCTGGAATTTAATGTTTTAGGCAGCTGTTTGGATTGCAGCCATAATATTTGCAAGTGTGTGTGTGTGTGTGTGTGTGTGTGTGTGTGTGTGTGTGTGTGTGTGTGTGTGTGTGTGTGTGCGCGCGTGTATGTGTGCGTGTGTGGGTGGGTGTGTGTGAGTGTATGTACAGATACAAGTAAGACAAATTCAATTAAAAATAAATGATGGCACAGTCCAATTTTGCAGGTTTAGGGTTAGGGTTAGTACTTGCCTGGTCGTACCATACCATAGTACAGATTACGTTACATGCAGGGAAATGATGTGTACGGATGGGTGAGGCCGGGCTAGGTCAGTACAGGTGAAGAACAAATGATTGCAGTTAGAATGTTTGTGGCATTACCTTAAAATATGGGAAGTGTTCCATGATGAAGCTGTAGATCTCACTGACCGGCAGGCTCCCAGTTTGGCTGTTCTTCAGAGCCATGAAGATCAGAATGCTGGAATACAGAAGACATATGTACTACAAACAGATGTGGACTTGAAAAACAAAGCATTCTCTTATACCTGTATGAGTAGATGGGCTTGGGGAACTGTGAGGGGCTTTCTTGACAAGATGGGGAACACTTTTGGAGAGAATATTTGGAGCTGTACTGGGTGGATGCAGGATATGGTTTTGGAACCTTAACACATATCATGAGGCAAACACACACAAGATTACACTAGTAAGTTAGTGTTATGTTAGTTAGTTAGTTTTATTTCAGTCTCTTAATTTCAGACTCCAATAGTCAACAAAACATTATAAGAAAAACATAAATAAATGACTGAAGGGGTTTTGGCTGAAGTGAGACACTTATTGGAGCCAAACCCCATACAAATTCATTACAATTTACAAAAGATAGATAGCGCCAAGCATACAGCAAATAAGGCCATAAAAATTTGTTTACAAAGTATTTTCACGGTAAATGTTACGTACACATTTCCTCGGGTTGTACTAAAAAAAAAAGAAAAAGATGTATACATATACATATACATATACATACACACATATGTACATATGCATGCATACATATACACACACATTTATACATACATGTATACACATTTATATTCTAAAAAAGACCATTATATATACTATATATAATATGTAATAAGAGTTTAGATATTGTTAAGTTCTAGTTCTTTATATGTGTTTATTACTTTAAATTTGAATTTGTTTCTGAATGTTCTGACTGATGTTGCGTTTTTCAATGAGTCTTCCAGACTGTTCCAAAGATGTGCTCCTCTGATGGAAACACATCGACCTTTGATGTTTGTTCTAACGTTTCTTTTTTGATAAACATGCGTTCCTCTTAGATTATAGTGAGCCTCTCTGGGTTTAAACCTTTGTTGTATACAATTTGGGAGCTTGTAGTTATGGACTTGGTACATAACAACAGCTGTGTTGATTGAGATCCACTAGATCATTTAATTTTAAAATATTCAATTTGATAAATAATGGGTTTGTTGGAGCATGATAGTCTGCATTGTTAACTAATCTGAATGCTTTCTTTAGTATAAGAATGGGCTGGATAGCAGTTTTATAGTTATTCCCCCATTTCTATCTACACAATAGTTTAGGTACGGAAGGAGGAGGGCATTATATAATAAGTGGAGTGACTTCTGATTCACAACTGCTTTAACTTTACACAATATTCCAACAATTTTTGATACTTTTGTTTTCACGTAGTTTATGTGAACCTTCCAGTTTAGACCTTCATCAATGTGCACTCCCAAAAATTTGGTGTGGCACACCCTCTCAATTTCCATTTCATTCATTTTTAGTTTCCTTTTGGAGATTATCGATGTTCCTATTGCCAAATATAATATATTTTGTTTTTTTCACATTAATTAATAATTTATTATAGTCAAACCATTTTTTTTAATATTTCTAGTTCTTTTTCAACTTTATTTAACAACTGATCAATATTTTGTCCAGAACAATAGAGACTGGTGTCATCGGCAAACAAAATACACTGCATGTTTTTAAGGACCTTAGATGTCATTAATATATATGTTGGACCTAGGACTGAGCCCTGTGGGACTCCATAGGTCATTATGTGATTGTTTGATTTTACGTTTTTTATTTGGACATATTGTTCTCTACCACAAAGATAGCTTTTTAGCCAGTCATTGGCAACTCCTCTAAAACCATATCTTTCGAGCTTTGATAAAAGCAACAGGTGATTTATGGTGTCAAATGCCTTGCTGAGATCAACAAACACACCCACTATATCTATTATCTGTTGCTGTTATTTCCTCTACCAATTCCATGACTGCCACAGAGGTAGATCTGTTTGCCCTAAAACCAAACTGTCGGTCATTGATTATATTATGCTTTTCTAAGAATTCATTCATCCTTACGTCAAAGAGTTTTTCAAAAAAAAATTGAAAATTGAGAGAGTAGAGAGATTGGTCTAAAGTTTGTGAATTGTTTTTCATCTCCACTTTTGTAAATGGGTATTACTTTTGAGATTTTCATTGTTTTTGGAAATATGCCTGTGAGAAAAGATTGGTTATAGATGTGTGTGAGGGGGGTAACAATGCAGTCAATAATTTCCTTTACCAACACCATATCCAAGTCAAAACTATCTGTGGACCTCTTGTTGAGGATTTCGTTTTCCTGTTCTAACTATATTCTAACTGAATCTGAAGATCCAGTCACATTCTGTCAGCCTTACCTCTAAAGGATTATTTGATGATGGAATGTCAGGAGAGATGCAGCAGGACATTTCTGTAACTGCTTTCTCTGAGTGGAAGTCCTGTGAAAAGAACAAGAGAGGCAGGGGGAGTGGGAGAGGGGGGAGGAGAGGGAGAGAGAGGTGTGTTACTGAAGCAATCAACACCTTCAAGAAACATCTTAAAACACACGTTTTCTTTCAAGCCTAACTCTTACCAATCTCAAACAACGCTGACGCTTTATCTGTACCAGTGACGACAGAACACCACTGAAGTCATTTTCACTTTACCTGCTGTTACTCTGTCTATATCCTTTTTGCTGCTCACACAGTTGTATCACTACATTATTCTCAAACTCTGACTGCTAACTGGACTCACACTGCTGAGGGCCTTTTATATGATTTGGTAATTTATGTACAATATAAATGAATTAATTATTATTATTATTACATTATAACTAATGTATCTTTGAACTGCTTGCATGCAAAGCTGTGTGTGATGCAAGAAGATTAATTTTATTTTTCTCTCATAGGCTTTTTGAAAATCAATATATAATGAGACACTCCACAAAGCTGACTTTTACTTGGCATGGAGCAGGGCCCCCTCCAACCTGTTTCCATGGAATTTGTTTTTAAGTTGTGCACAGGTTGGAATAAACCAAATCCCATTTACGAAGAAAATTCAAATGATTGTTTTCCAAAACAACAGACATGTAAAGCTTAATGGTCACAGTGCAGTTGTCCACACTAACGATGATGTAATCATACCTGCACACCGCTGTGATTGACCCAGGAGCTGCTGTGAGGAGAGAACAAGTCGAGGCTGACGGGAGAGGGGCACAGTGGGACACTGGTACAAGCACTGGTCCTGTCGCTGGTCCTATCACTGAAGACTGGTCTGTTCGAATAAAAGAGCTCCTCAAGACTGGGCCTCCTGCTCAGGCTGCTCTGGGAGTCCTCTGCCTGTGCAAACACACACTTTTATATGTGATATTGAGTTCTCAATAAAGAGCCATCAAACATTTCTCCATTGGCTTGTATTTAGCTCACAAAGATTTCACCAGATTGTTCTTCTCTTTTTTTGTCTTTGTTTGATAAAACATACCTGTGAGGCTTCCATCTGCATTCAGGACTTCCCAAAGAAGTTGTTGTTTAATTCTATTTTCCTGGAAGAAAAATAAACTCCCAAAATCAACTCACTTGCTCCAATAGTATACTTTTATCTTACAGACAGAGGAGGGGGCACTGAACATGTTCTGACGCTATTGACAAAGAACATGAAATAAATAAGTTGTATTGGTTAAAATGAGCTGACTGATATATTTTCTCTTCTGACACCTAGAGGCATGGCATGGATGGCCGACATGTGGCTCTTGCTTATGATAACAGCAGTGACTGAGAGAAGGCTCATTAAAAGTTCCACCAAAGCGTGTCAGTTGGGTCACATGAAGCCAAAAAGTGCTGATCCAGGCAGTGCAGTGACAGAGAGGAAGCTACTGTGTGGAGGAGAAACCTGAGAGCCACTGCTTTGCTTTCATATTGTGGCAACAAGTCTTCTCATTTTGATGGACAAGTCGATATAGGCCCCAGAACATGTTGAATGTACTTGGATAAACTCAGGCCTATTAATGAACATGAAAACCCTTACAATGTAACAGTAAATGAGTTACATAATGTGATTTGTATCCTTTAACTATAAAAGCCATGTTGTGCTTGATAATAGATTATGCAATGACCAGATAGTTTGTCGTGTTTACACTTGATCTCTTTGCCTACAGTGAGACATCAGATTCAAGTCATTCACTGACTATGCAAATATTTTTCAACTGCCAATCAGTAGAGTGCCAGAATCATTATGAAATCATTCCTCACTCAGTACGTTCTGAATGATTGTCCCGCCTTTAATTATCCCAAAGAACAGAATCAAAACTTTGCAAAACAACAAAGTCTGCAAACAAAGTCCATTGGTTTAAACAGTAGTTTTGTGATTGTTTTGTTTTATCTGAAATGATTAGATCATATGAATAATAGAAAATGTTATTACCTTGGAATATTTAACAATTAAAGACAAGAGATGGAGATGGATAAATAAGTGTACATACCTGCTTCAAAATACAACAGTTCCATGTGTGAGTGACTTTGTTCCACGCGGCCTCTGACAGCGCTGCGAACCCCAGTCTGCTGTGTACACTAATGTTTGATGGACTCCTTTCAGATTTTGGCAGCTTAAGTGTGTGTGCGTTTGTACGTGTGTGTGTGTGTGTGTGTGTGTGTGTGTGTGTGTGTGTGTGTGTGTGTGTGTGTGTGTGTGTGTGTGTATGAGAGAGAGAGAGAGAGAGAGAGAGAGAGAGAGAGAGAGAGAGCATTGGTATGCATTTAAGTCCAGCACTTCTCCAGTTGAGACGAGCAATAAGGTATAAAGAAATCAAAACCTGCTGCGACAGGTTCCAGTGCAGCAGAAGCAGCTGGAGCCTTCGGACCAAACCACTTCCCAGTCTGCCTTAATGACTTGACTAAAATCAGATCCAATCAGGCCTCTAAAGCCAAGCAGAGCAGGGCTCAGTCAGTGCTGTGATGGGAGACCTATGGGAACACCAGGTGCCACAGTGGGGCAGCTGCAGTTGTAAAGTGCGGCAAACGTTGTGTCCTTAGGCAAGACCCTTCACCCACATTGCCTAGAATGAGTCCTGTGTGTGTGTGTGAATGGTTGGTGGTGGTCGGAGGGGCTTTTGTCAGTGTGCCCAAGGGCAGCTGTGGCTAAAGCAGTAGTTTATCACCACCGTGTGTGGAGTGAAAGAATAATAAAGTCTTTGAGCGTCCAAAACAGCGCTATATAAAACCAGTGCTACATGCATGTTAGTGCAAACAAATATTGTATATACCAGACAATAAACGATAATAACTAATTATTACTGTACTATATTTACAGAAGTGTAAATGTGTATCCTAGGCACATTAAACCATTATTATTTATTTACACATTGAAAGTATTCTGTCATGTTAGAAGGTGAACCAGAAACCAGTGTAAGCTGCACATCACCCTTAATCCCTGAGACCATTAACAGATATACAGTATATGGTTCTTTTTATAGCAGACATAATCTTCTGATAGTGTTTTTTCATGTGGGCTTTCATATGTGCATATAGTTTAACAGTTAAATGAAAGAAGTTTCTTTATCAAATACTCAGGAATGCTATAAGAGAGTAACAATTATCTTGAGGTCTAGGTTTGTAGAAGCGTTTTAGATTAAATTCAGTTTTGTACAGCAGACATGCTGTACATAAAGGTGTAAAAAAAAACTCAAAATTAAACACTTAGGAGTGGAAAAAATGGTTTCAGAAGTGCGGAATCATTTTAATCTATAAAACTATAAAAACGGAACTAAAATATAACAACCACGACAACAAAGTTATAAATGTAACAGTTCCTTTGGAAGACGAACGACGGATCAAGAAAACAGGAATGGTGGCGTGTCTTACCCGTGATGACAGAAGTCCGTCACACTCCACTTCCAGAAACGAAATGGTTCATTGCTTCCTTACTTTGAAGCTACATTTGATATTTACAGGAGGAATGAGGGTAGATTAAACTTTTAAAAGTCATTTTGGATTTCATTTTCATCTTTAACCTTACTGCAATGTAGCTTTAATATCCTTTCTGTTTCCTTTCATCATCACTGAATAGGACGATGACCTTCAAACAGGAAGTTCAATATTACTGACTAAAAGGCTAACCTTGATATCCTCAAATTGATATATTTGTCTCATTTCTTCATTTTTGAATGGATTTGTAACGTACTTCCAAACATTGATCCAATTATGTAGTCATCAGATTTATGTCAATCAAGTCCAACAGCAAATGCCTTTTTGGTTTGGAAAAAGTAATTACATGTAGTGGAAACCCAGTTTACATACAATACTCTGTGCAAAAATACATTTATTATTAATTATTTTCTTTAAAAAACCTGCAACAGGGGAATTATCTTCCACCAAAATTGCTATATATATTGGCTCAATTCTTAAACAGTGAGAGAGGCCTCCATTGTTTTAGTTTTTGGAAGAAGATTTTTAATTGTTGGACTTGGATCCAACGTTGGGGGTATATTTCCACAAGCTTCTCACAATGGTTCACTGGAATTCTGGCCCATTACTCTGGGCAACTGGTGTAACTGAGTCAGTTCTCTGCCAACTCTCACAGGCCTTTAGAGATCAGCACACACATGTTCTGAGTGAGATCAGGGCTTTTTCACCCTGAAACATTGACTGTGTTGTCCCTAAACCACTCTGTAACACTCTTTTGGTGTTTGTGGAAGACTTATTAAGATTTATTGAGTTGTTGCATGAGTTTCTACAAACTGTTCGTTCTTTATGATGTATCTTATTCCATGAAGTCCAGCAGCAGGAGACCTCCGTCCCTCATCCTCCAGAGGTTGGAGGATGCCCCCCCAGGGGACAGTCCTCGCACCGTTCCTCTTCACCCTCTACACTGCGGACTTCAGACACAACATGGACGGTTGTGTTCTACAGAAGTTCTCAGACGACTCTGCCATCATCGGACTCAGCTCCGAGGACGATGACGCAGAGTACAGAGGAGTGATACAGGACTTTGTGGACTGGTGTCAGCGGAACCACCTCCTCATCAACGCGGGGAAGACCAAGGAGATGGTGGTGGATTTCCGTAGACGTCACTCTGCTGCTACAGCTCCAGTGAACATCCAGGGAAAGGCCATTGAGAGAGTGGACTCTTACAAGTACCTGGGTGTTCATCTGAACCACAAACTGGACTGGACTCATAACACAGACGCCCTCTTCAAGAAGGGCCAGAGCCGCCTCTACCTTAGGCTTAGGTCTTTTGGAGTGCAGGGGCCACTCCTGAAGACCTTCTATGACTCTGTGGTGGCATCAGCCATCTTGTACGGTGTGGTCTGCTGGAACAGCAGTATCACAGAGAGGGACAGGAAGAAGCTGGACAAGGTCATCCGGAAGTCCAGCTCAGTCCTGGGCTGTTCCTTGGACACAGTGCAGCAGGTGGGGGACAGGAGGGTCCTGGACAAACTAACATCTATGCTGGACCATGACTGTCACCCCCTGCAGGACACTCTCTCTGCTCTGGAGAGCAGCTTCAGTGACAGACTAATTCACCCTCGATGTGTGAAGGAGAGGTTTCGCAGGTCCTTCCTTCCTGCTGCTGTCAGACTGTACAACGAGAATGTGTAACAGGAACTGCTGAGTCTGCACAAGTGTTTCTGATAATTCACTAGTAACTTTGTCACTAGTCACTTTACCTGTTATCAGTACTACCACAGTACTACATATCTGATATTTACTGTTATCAGTACTACTGATATTTGATATCTGATAATTCTGCCTTTCACCAGTCACTTTACCTGTTGATATCTTACTGTATTATTCATATCCATCTGATAATTCTCCCATTCAAGTCACTTTACCTGTTGATATTATTTCTGATGTTTATTCTGCTCATATTCTCATATTCTCCGCTGCTAATGTATAATATAGACATCTGTAAATTCAATTTGGAGAGACGAGAAACGAAAATGGTTTTGAGTATTTTATTGAGAGGAGGTTTGGCGCCCTATAGGCCCCGGTGCGGCCTTCAGATCGGAGAGGCTCCTGCGATGGAGCGCGCACAATCCCCCGGGACCTAGGCACTGGTGGCGGCATTTTGGCAGCGGGAAGCAGATTGGAGGCAGATTGGAGGCAGGGTGAAGAGGAGGAGGAGGGGAGGCGGTGGTTGCGAGGCTTCGAGAGGCCGTGAAGTGGGAGTTTCTCCGCTTTTAAGCGGCTGGTCTGTCCGGCACGGATGATTGGAAGGGGGCGTTTGCTGTGCGATAGGCTGGGGATGCCAGCCGGCCTGGAGGGGGTAGCTTTTGGCTAACGTCTACCAAATTGAATTTCCGCGAGCTGCATTTCAATTTGGAGAGACGAGAAACGAAAATGGATTTGAGTATTTTATTGAGAGGAGGTTTGGCGCCCTAGGCCCCGGTGCAGCCTTCAGATCGGAGAGGCTCCTGCGATGGAGCGCGTACAATCCCCAAAAAAGGCTGTGTGTTGATGGAGTTTTGCAGCCTGGTTTGCAGGGGACAGACGTCGTGACCGCTATCG